AATTTAATATTTGAGAAGGCTCCAGAAAATGCCAAAGGGGCATGGAAAAATTAAATCTGTGGCCCTTGGATTATACGTAGCCAAAAGCGATAGTATTTATTTAAAGAAGTGGATGAAATTTGATGGAATTGAATCCTACTTCAGTTGTTGACCGATCCCGATCAAAGGTGTTGCGCAAGTTGCGCCATCACAATTCTTGAAGGGGGCACATTTTGACGGGATTTTGGATTTTTGAGGGGGGCACATTTCGACGGAGTTTTGAATTTTCGGACTAAACAGTTTCAAACAAGCAGACAAAGGGAATATATGTAATAAACATTAGCAAACGTAGTTGTATGTGGTTTAGGGTACTTTAATTTCTAATGTTTAAGAAGAGGAGAGCAATAAAATATCTTGAGGAGGCGAGAGGGGAGGTTCATGCGCCATCGACCTTGGGTGGATGGGTACCCCTATATTCGATAATGAAGGAGCAATAACTGTTGAAATACATATTGTACATAACTATGTACAATCTCATCAATGTATTTTTTTTTTAAATTTCATATATATTTCTGAAAACATTCAATATACACTATAGAGTAAATCATTCAAGTGCTTATAATATTACAAATGATTTGTCTGTGTAATTCAGAGTACCAGTACGGTTACGGGATTAATTGTAATTAGCATCAATATTTATCTTGGAAACAAGGAACTTTGGGATGATTCAGAACTGGATATTCATTCCAAAGATATTGGACAACGACCGTCAATAATTACTCGGAAACAGAGAATGAAAGTTTGTTATTTGACGCTTACTTCCCGTTGGCTTAGCTCGCCATGGGATCAAAGGAACCGCAACCCTCTTATCTCGTGGAAAAATAAAACGAAACAACCAAACACAGAAAGAAGATAAATATTTTCTCAGCCTTTAAACTAATGTGAAAATGTCTCTTAACACTTTCATCATGTTTTCAATTCATAACTATCCAACAGAAAAATTTGTATTTTATTTTAACACCTTTAAAATTTAATTCAACTTTTATTAAGTATATAGTCACATGTATATAGAAAATGATTGTATTTTCTTACGTTTCATTAATTTCTTTGTGCAAAAGAGTCCATATGTTCCAATATTAAAGAATTGGGATGCGAATTTAGTAAATGGCCAGATGGAACAGGGTTGCCAGGCGTCCTTTCGTTAAGGCAGTCCTTCAATTCGTGTAGGTCGTGATGGCCGAGCATGTTAGACCTCTGCCTGTTCTATCACTCTGGCAACCCCAGTTCGATTCCGGCTTCGGTTTATTGTAATTAATTTCATGGCGGACCCACGAAAGAAATCTCGACCTTCCCATTCAGATAACAATGGGTGTAGTTGTACCTCTGTACAGCCCCGGATGTCAGAAATGGGAAAGTAGGAAGTTATTGTGAAAATAATGTCTACAATTCATGTGAATTGTCCAACGTTGATTGCCAAGACTTAATTTAGCAACGCATTTTATATTTCAAAATATTTTAAACTAAATGAAACATTAAGGGGTTCCGATAGTTAGTTACCAACATGACTATCTTCCTTATCATTTGTAAAACGCCTATTTCCTATTATGAAAAGTTAATGGACTGATAAAAGGACTAGATGTATGCTCCCTTTATCTTTTTATTACAAAGCAATATCATAATGATAGTTGACTAAAATTGGTAAAGCCCTAATCCAATGCAATGTGCAAATTATATACTATAAAGTAAAAATGTTTATTTTGTTAAATTTGACCTATGGGCAACGAGTGAGAACGAATAATTAATGAAGAATGGTCAGAACTATAACCTAATAAATTAATTCGATCATAAATACAAACCTAAGACAATTAATATAAATGATGATAATTCTGTGCAAAAAATATATTTGGTTTATCAAGCTGAGGAAAAATATTGTTTCTATATATATATTAGATATAAAAAAAAATTATGTCTGTGGAAATTCCATTTAGTTTCGATGAAAACATTAATTTCATCATTCAACAATATGATACTAGTCATTATCAACAGCAATAATCAAAAGTCATTAGCTTATTGTTACTTCATATTAACTTCTATGATCTTAAGTAAATGTTAGATATTCATTTTTGAAAATGACATTATTAACATCCCCTGAAACTTCGTAAATAGTTTCATCTCATCGTAACCTCCAACTATTTCATTTACGAAAACTCTAGTAATTGGGGCCTTTTCAATCTGGAGTTGGGTAAACTTTGTCTATTTAGGTACGAGAAATCCGTAAATACCCATTTGCTTTCTATTTGTATCCTAAGATAAATTGATCACAAAATCGTTAAAAAAAGGTAGCCTACAAAAATATTAGGCCGTTTATCCTATATAACCTCCTTATTTTGAAATTTTGGGGGTGTAGGTCACGCCAAACGGCTCAATATTTTTTCTGGACTTTGTGATCAAAGTATGTTATGCTCCAAATAGAAAGCAAATGCCTATTTACGAGTTTTTATTGTTGCCCTCTACAGATTGAAAACGCCCTAATTATAAGATTTTTCGTAAATAAAATAGTTGTAGTTATGAAGAAATGAAGCTATTTATGAAGTTTCAAGCAGATGTTAATAATTCGATAAAAAGGGGTCTGTACCAGGGACTATGTGATTTAGTGTTAAAAGTGGTCTAATTATTTTAGTTTAAATTTTATTCCTTCATTTTAACTAAATTATGAATATAAATATTTTAGTAAAAACAAAAGGGCAATGAAATGAACTTCAGATAATTAATAAAGCTACAAATATTATTTGTAATGAATATATTGTAGTTAACAATTCTTTTATATCCTTTTTACATTGGTATTGTGCTCATTTATTATTTTCGAGAATCGATAAATTCTTATAATTTTATTATTTATTTATATTATAACATTTCGAGCTACTTTGCTTATTTTCAAGATACTACTGGAAATAAATAAGTATAGATTGGTGGTTTTGTGTCCAACATACATAAATTATTCTAATGTATCTGACTATACTGTTATACTATTCTGTACATACCAATAATTTAACATGTTTATTCTTTTGTATTTTTCCATCCTTGCTAAATAATTAAATGAAATAATTTTTAAGTCTGACTCACTCACCCCGTATATTCTGCTTATTCTCAACCATTACCAGTTTACTCTCACAGTGAAGATACATGAGATTAATTTAGTAAAAATGTTAAAAACTTAGTTTTAAAAAAATTTTGTTTTTAGAGTGCCTCGAAAATAAATTCGCACTGGACTCTTTAAGTAGTCTAGGTATGCCACTGAATAGTATCAACTTCAGGCTTAACTCAAGGTCTGGTGCAGATAAAAACATAAGTAAAAATTTACCTTCTAAAGAATTTCTTAATTGATTAAGAAATAAAACATACCTTGATGAAAAGAATGAGATATTGAGGATGTTCCATATCAGTTTTCTCTGAATACCAATGGACAAAATTTTCATATTTTAAGTAAAGAAAATATATTAAAAAAGAACTTAACTGAGAAAAAACTGAAGATAATTAAGAAATTACAAAATACTACAACCATCACACAATGGTGCCCTTTTAGGATTAAAAGCAATGAAATAGGCACAAAAACAAAAACAAAATGTTATATGCACAAAAACAAAAATAGGGCAGTCTAAAATATTACTGGCTCCATAATTTCAATAATGAGCCAGCTTAAAAAATATTAGGCAATCTAAAAAAAACTGAAAATATGTTATTTACTTTAAATAAAATCCTAAGTGTTTATATTTTTCTTTTTTTTTTTAGTTTCATCTTTCAAGTATAATCACATGTAAGTATAATGTTGATAATGGTTATACATTTGAATTATTCACTCATTTTTTATTTAAAAAAAAAAAAAATTAAAAAGACATAGAATCGCACAAGAACTTATAAAAGAGCCTATTGCAATATTTTAGCCTTTTATAGGTTGTAATAATCATCATATGACCATAAATGAAATATAACCTAAGATCTTCAGCAAGGATGATTAGGCATCAGTAAAAAGTAATTAACCAGAGAGAAATACATTCCACGGCTGCTCAACTATGTTGAGTTGCTAAATAACACAGCATACTCATCAATCAAAAGATAATACTGTAAAAAGTATAAGAGAAAGTTAGGTCGGACCATTGGAATACATATCAGGTATGATAATAACAGTTTATAGAATCAAATAAGCAGAAGCCTAGATTTATATGTGGTAATGGAGGATTCCCGAGTCTAAAGTAATAGTTTCTGTCATGGTCTGCATCTGCTCACCTCCAACATCGAGCCTCTGCAAGAAATTACTTGTATTAAGAGGGATACTTCACCTGCTTCCGAACCATAGCCCTTAAACTGAGAATTCTCTCTCGCCGAATTCATCTCTGTACTTTTCCTTCAGTTAAGGTACACATTTCATATAAATTTCCTCTTTCACTGCATGTACCTTGAAGTCCTGATCCTGATCATTGGTTTCAAATGTGAGCGTGGAATCCACTATGAATGCCTCCTTTTCAGTCGTATTCAACACCAAAATGTCAATGAACCTTGAGCATTCTGTATCCAGGCAATAAACTTCGAGGAAACATTTATAGTTCTTCATTTTAAGGAATTCGGCTATATCATTATGCGGATGACAAGGCATGACCATTGCCCAACACGTGAGCTGGGGTTTCTGACTCGGCCAAATTTAAGGCTGAAAGATTCTGGAGAGGTTATATAGGTTTTTTTTAGATAATAGTCAGTGAAATTTATTAGACTGAAAAGACTTCATAAGACAAGAATGGAAAAAAGTGAAAACCGAATAGATGTTAGCATGGAACTTCACAAAGTAAGAGGAATAGGAAGACAAGTATGTGGCTGGACTGTCTCAACAAACTCAAGAATAGTTTGTTCTACAATTTATCAATTATGTAAACCAGTCCTTGCAAGATTGGAAATAATAATCCTCACATAAAGTTTAATAAAAATTAAATAAATAAAATAATAATTAATTTCTATTAATACAAACAGTTACAGTTATACAACGGTAAGGGATAGGTTTGAAAAATTAAAAGTACAAACTGCAAAACTCAATTCGGCAGTTTATTCTTTAATTTTCAAATCAAATAAAACCATTAAAACTACATATGCAATGTTTTATTTGCAAATTGAAGTAAAGAAGTATAAATGCAAAAATATGGCTGTGCTAAAAAAAAAAAGTTTTCACATAGGCACACAGTAATGAAATTACATTTCATATCACAAAAAATTTAATATTTTAAAGCATAAATAACGAAAATAAGGTATAAAGTATTAATCAATGTTTGCTGACAAAGCACAGACAGTGAATCTCATTTCATCGGGATCTTTCTTCATAATATCAGTAATAACCTTGGCAGCATCCTAAAAAAAAATAATAATATCCTTATTATATAGAAATGATTTTTATACCTGCACATTATAAATTAATTAACTAAAGATTACAATAAGTATTATATTAAAATAACCAACTAACTCGAAATGCTAAACAAATTGGAACAGAATAAAGCAAGGACTTTACTTTACTAACTTAAAAAAAAAAAATTAGCTTAATAACCAATCAAGTTATTTTAAAACACAAATCTATTAACTAATATTTTAAGAAGTTAGTATACAAAAAGAAATTTTTAAATTGAACATTTAGAAAAGACAAGAAAAAAATGTCTACCAGGTATAGCTTTCTCACGGTTTTCATTGGCTAAACAATATCTATATTTCAAAGTCTATAATTTTTTGTATCAGAATAAAATCCCTGGAAAAGGCTTTTTTCAGAAATACTGTATTCCTTAACATTCGCGGGTTTGATATCCATGAAATTTGTTCATCAGCGAATACTTAACTACGGAAGAGTTCCACATTTCAAATCCTGTATTTGATGAATGGTGATTAAAAACAAAAAAAATCCCAGTACATGCTAAAGATGTATATCGTCAGTACTGTACTACTATTAGTACAAAAGGTACTACAAAATATCATATGTAAAAATTAAGTGTTTAACAGGAGGGCATAAAAACTATTTATTTGTTTATGATTTATTGGTGTAATTTTGTATGTTATTTTCCTGTGCTAGTTTCCATATTACCAGGCTATCAGCATCAGTTGCGTACTACAAAATATCACCTTCAGCACCAATAGAATAAAATGGAAAATTGTTACATGTGACCTTTTTCACTAACAGCAGCGATATTAGTGTTGCCCAAATGTGAGAACAAGACGAGTCATGGTCTTGGTCTTGCACAAGTCTCGCAATAGTCTTGTAGTTAACTATTAGCCTATTACTATAGAGATATTACTGTAATTTTTCAGATAGCGAAAACCTACCTAAGCCCGAATGAAAAATTAGAAGTGTTAAATGCAAAAGTATATTCGTTACACCAATTCTATACATATAGTAAATAAAATTGTCAAGTATTAGTAACTATTTTGCCTTGATTTTTATACACAAAAACTTTAGTTTTTATTCAGTCTTGCAGAGTGCAAGATCAAGACCAATTTTGGGCAACACTAAACGAAATATACTTAATCGGTATATTTTCACTAGTAAATATCGATGGAACAAAAATCCATTGGGGAAATTTAACTTTTTGTTTGTTCGAAGTTAACAAGACCAATATTTACCCTCAGTCAGAACAAAATTAATTTAAGCTGGAATATAAAAATATTGGGTGGGCAAACAAGTCCTTTCGGTTTTTCAGGGTGAAATAAAACTCAAATGTATTATAGACTTAAATTTATTTTAATCTACAATATATCGACTATTATTTAATATGACTTTTTCCCATTTTTCCACTAACTGCATAATGCCATGTTCATAGAATGTCTGGAGTTTATTTTTAAAAAACTGATCCAAGTGATTTTTGATGTCCTCTTCCTTTTGGAATTTCGTTCCACTTATAGTGTTTTGCAGAGACCGGAATAAGTGGTAGTCACTTGGAGCTAGGTCTGGTCAATAGGGAGGGTGAGGCAGAAGGTCCCATCCAAGGATCAATAATTTATTGCGAATGACCAATGAGATGTGGGGTCTAACGTTGTCATGGTGGAACACAACAACCTTCAGATCATTCTTAACTTTTCAGGATGTTCTCCAAATTCTATGTAACTTTATCCGTTGGGAAGCTAAATTATTTCTCTTCAAAGCCGTGTTAGTGATATTTTTTTGATTTAATGCCTACACATGGAATAAATAAACAAGTACTTCTTATAGGTTTTTATTTTTTATCTCCATTTGTAGCTTGTTTATGAAGGTCCTGTTGATGTTATTTTGTGTAGTTTATGTGGCCCTAAATTTCTGCTAAATTTCTTGTAGATGGCTAAGGTCCTATTGAAGTTATCAACATTTTTTGTGATTTAAAAAAAAAAAAGTCATGTGAAGGCCCAAACATTAAGCCTGGAAACATAGCCGAGCTTGTACAAATGGTTTTCTGCACTTGTGTGCGACATATTTAGGGCAATAGCAATCTCTCACACTGACTGGATAGGTTTTTGTTAACAATGGCTTTAACATTGCTCGTTTCAATTTTAAGTGGGTAACCAGACCATTGAGCATCATTGATGTCAAAATTTCCTGAATGAAATTTGGTTAACTAAGTTTGACAAGTGCGTTCGGTTAAGGCATCATCCCCATAACACTGCAAATTTTTCTATGAACTTCTGCAGTATGCCTACTTTTTTTAAAATAATACAACAAAATATGCAGATAATGAATGATATTTTCTTCTATTTTCACAGTACAATAGCAAACACAATACTAAGCTATTTTCAACAAGAGTTAACAGATATAGTTGTTAACATATTTTAGAAACAGGATAAACAATCCATCTTAAGGATTAATTCATCAGATAAGAAGTGTATCATAGTGACATAAAAACTGAAAGGAGTTATTTGCCAAACCAATATGATTGAAGTTCACACAACTTTGATGATTACGCAGGAAATCGAGACCACAAGAAGCTGGTTGAGCTTCAATAAAAACAAACAAAATCAGAAACAATACTTTTTCGGTTTATAAAGAGAAAAAAAATTAATTAAAATTTATTGACAATCACATGAAATCTAAGTGAAGGCAGTAAGTTTCATGTCTGCAAGGTTTGGAATCAACCAAACAACAATAAATTTTACAACCTCATAAAATTTTGTATTGATCTTATCCCTATTCCATGTGATCAATATCTTCCACATTTCACAGCCATTATTTATATTGTTAACATTTATTTATATTAATTATAATTATTGAATGGAATTAAATGAAATTGGAACTAACAATTTCTGAACTATTCTGCAAATTTCCACCAAGTTTGGGTCAAATTGAATGAGCCGTTTCAAATAATACATTTTCTGATCTGAAAGCAGAAGTATTTTTTTTGGAAATAGTGGATATGATTTAATAAAATTGAGACATTCTTGATTATCTGTTTACCAATCTCTAACTTCACTCCAAATTTCAGCCAATCGAACGTGCGGTTATAGAGCTATAGCTCTATCAAGGAAAACACATTTGCGCATATATAAGAGAAAGTAGAGGACATATAGCATCAAATTGAATAAATTTGATACTACATAATTTTTTTCTTAATACCTGGCCCTTTTTGCCAACTTTGAGCCAAATTGAACTAGCCGTTTCTGAAATACTGGCATATTCAAGAAAATACATTTATGCATGTGGAAGCGGAAGTGTTGGATGGATTTTGATAAAATTGATATGGGAACATCTAGAAGCCAATCTGCACAATCACTGAAAATTTCATGAAAATCGGATAAACGTTAGTAGGTGATATGCCCATTACATCGATTTGACTACAGACAGAACCAAATTTGATCCTTGATATCTTAAACGTAAAACGCGAGTGAACATATTTCGATTCTGAGCATATTATTTTTTTTAACTTCTCGCACGAACACAATGCTTCGCTACCTTCCATAGTGAGAGGAAGCAAAAAAAGAATTTTTAAATGCAATAGTAAAAAAGTTTCATAAACAAAAATAATACAAAATACTAATGCTTATATTACAATACTTACTTCAATAAAACTTTCAGAATTAGTTGGTCCATGGTTTATAGGGAAGGCTTTACGTCCATCTACAAAAATTTTAAGACTTAGATCAGGGAGAACTTTAAATATATTCAGGTAAGTTAAAAACAGACTATGCCTTCTACACCACAGCAAAGTTGGGAACTTGGTTGGGGGGAGCAGTCACAGAGAAAAATAAAATCTAATTTATTATTTTATTTTTCTCTGTGATTGCAATTCCTGACCATGTTCCGAACCATATTATATGTACTCAACTATTCCTCCACCACTACACCATATCAAATTGAGATTTTCATCAACACTAGTTTTTACTAAGTAATAAGTTCCTTTATAAAGAATTCATATTCATGCATTCATGATATAATTAAGCTTCTTGTAGCAGCCACTCAAACAGGAACTTCTCCATTATCAATTGAAGGTATAAGTTAAAGAAAGAAAAACAAACAAAATCAATAATAAATGTACAATTGAAATGTTACATATAATTTATAATTATTGTGAGTAATTTGAATACATAGAAGTTTTCTTATTTAAATTTTTAAGGTTAAGTTTAAGGCTCTCAGTTACCTGAACGAATCAGATTGAAAAGGAAATGACCAAGAGATATACTATATCGATAAAAACAAAATCAAGCAAAAACACCAAAACAAAATAAATGCAACAAATTTGCTAGAAACACTGCAGCGTTGCATTATTGAATTGCATTAATTTAAGTTTCTAAAAACTTTACATTTAGTAACAAAATTTCATTTAATTTCCTTGAAGACACGTGATTTACATTAAATAATGTTAGTTTCAAGAAATTATTATTTATATTTTTTTCATCACTTTCCATTATCTTCTACAACTTTCTATATTATATAGTGTTTTTTTATTAATTCTCAGCTTTTCAACGATATATTATATGTATACCTTCTGACTAGCATTTCTGGAAAATCATTTTCAATCCGGATAAAATATTTTGCTAAATATTAAAATGTTTAGCAAAATATTTTAGAAGTTTACATTTATTTAGTAAATTTCATTTAATTTCTATGAAAACATGTGATTTATGTTAAATATTATTAGTTTTCAAAAATTATTATTTATAAGGTAATGAATGACCTATAATTTTCTATATTAGATATTTTTTTTTAAATTCTCCGCTTTCCAATGATATATTGTACGTATACCTTCTAACTAGTATTTCCGGAGATTCATTTTTGATCTGGATAAGCGTTTATATTTTTTTCTCTTTTATTCATATTTTGTTATCAAATTCTTTCAAAAGTTATATTTAGCATTTTTTCATAACTCTTAATAATGAGAGATAGTTAATTATTTAAAAAAAGGTATATTAAAGATACTTTAGAGGAAGACGCATATCAACATTGGGTATTTAAGCCCTGTAAAGTGACATCAATGGGTACAAGACCTCAATGGTATAAAAGACCACTTAAGTATACAATGATACACTGAGTTTAATCAAAATGGTTTTTGAGAAAATTTTAAAAATGTGTTTCACCGTTGATATAAAGTGACACTTCCGGTTAGCCGATTTCAATGAAAAAATTTAATGAAAATTAAAAAGTCACCTTCTCCCACGCTGTACGGTACTTAGGAATGACCTTTGATAGAACACTCAGATGGACTCAACATTTTAAACAATTAAAAACAAATTGCCTCCGCTCTCTGAATCTCTTAAGAATGGTCAGTAACACTAGCTGGGTTGCCGATCGAAAAAGCATGGTAACCCTGTATAGGACACTAATAAGATCGAAATTGGACTATGGCTGAAATGCCTACAACTCTGCATCGAGTACCAATTTAAAAATTCTAGATCCTGTACAAAACGCCGCCCACAGAATAGCTATTGGTGCTTTCCGATCCAGCCCTGCAAATAGCCTATGTGTCGAAGCTGGCGAGCTTCTGCTCGACATACGGAGACATCAACTTGACCTCATTTACTTTGTTAAGATCCATTCTGCATTTAATCATCCACTGACTGATTTATTTTCAAATATACAATACTCCAATCAACAACAAACTGAATTACCAAATAGAACACCCTTTTCAATCAGAGTTTCAACTTAACTAAATAATATAAATATTGAACTTCCTATTTTACATAAACTGCAATTTATCCTTGGGGACTTCCAACTCCAAAAATTCTTCTTTCTCTCACCAAATTTATTAAAAACAAAACAATGCCTTATATAAATAAACAGGAATTTCTCAAACTTCAAGACAGACTAGGTGATTCTGACTTCATCTACACTGATGAAGCGAAGAGCTCCACAGATGTGGGAGCATCAGTTATATGTAACGAACGACAAAATATTTTTCCTCTTTCACCACTAAGTAATAATTATACTGCTGAATTGGTTGCAACATATAAAGGTTTAAATGTTATACAGCCCACTAAACAAAAAATGGTCATATGCACAGATTCTCTATCCGCCCTAATTAGTCTAGAAAATGTCTTCTCATCTAATATGATCATAGAAAACATTCTCATACAGTACTCAATAAAGTCCGCAAATAGAAATAATATATCAGTATTTTTTGTCTAGGTCCCTGGGCATTTCGGTATAGCCGGTAATGAACTGGCTGAACGAGCTGCCAGAAAAGCTACTACTGATGGAATATCGGGGAGTACTTGTAGAGTATTTTATAACCGTCATCGAACAGAAAATTAAAACAAAATGGGAACAGATATGGTCGAATGTAACCGAAAATAAATTGAGGGAGGAAAAAGGGTGACGTTTCCTCTTGGGCATAGGAATAGGAATAACCGCAGAGAGGAAGTAATTCTTATGCGCCTGCATATAGGTCATACACGCCTCATGGATACCTGATGTCCCGTGATTCTTCGCCAGCATGCCAAACCTGTGGGATTCCCCTGACAGTAAAACACATTTTAACAGAATGCAGAGCTTACGAAACATTTAGGAAACATTTAGACTATCTTGTGACTTGACAAACGATCTACACTTCATTTTACAGGGCAATACGAATGAAATTGATAAATTATTTCTTTTCTGAAATGTTCTCAACTTAAAAATACAATCAAATTTTCAATGAAAATAAGGCAATAATGACCATAGTGGTTGAAGCCTTAAAATAAAAAAATAGAAAATAAAATGAAAAAGTTACTGTGACATCTAAGGCATATACCTATCTTAAATACGTAATATCAGTTTCGTACGACTTTTTGTTTTTGAGCTAAAGTGTTCACATACACAGACCATTTTATCTGGACTTTGTTATTTGGACTCAGGGCACCTCAAATTCGAAAATTTTCACGATTGCATTACTTTCCCTTACTATATATTACATATATAGGTAAGTGAAAGTAAAAAAATAAAAACCTGAGAGGTGATTCAGGGCAAAACTGAAAAATAAAATAGAGAAAACGTTATACATTGAAAATGTGCAATAAGTCAGTAAATGAGAGGAAAGTCGACAGAGACAAAACTAAAGAATGTGACAGAAAATGCATTGAAGGTATGCTTTGTTATATTCATAAAGAATGGTTTTCAACAGTATGTTCAGATTTTTAATATGAATGCTGATGATCAGAGACCAAATGTCATCAAGATGATGAAAAATCTGGAAAGACCCACATGTCAGAACTAGATGAAGTATTAAACATTGAGGAAGCATGTTAAAAAAGTGACCAGAAGGAAAAAACAATCTAATAGATTATTAGCCACCACAAACCAGATATTCAAAAGATTGTTGGAAGAGTATCAATGTGGTCAACCAACATACCAGCCTTTGATAAATATTTTTCACATGTGCCAAGATAATGGAGCACAATACTATGATGAGAATGATATTAAATTCTAAAAATAAATTGGTTTTATCTTTGGATGTAAAGTATAAAAGGAGCCAGCCTAAACTTCAAGCTGGCAATTCAAACAATATTAGGTTATGTCCAGCTAACGTGACAGACAATCCAGACTTTCCATTCCTACGCCTCAAACGTAAACGATTTTTTTTTTTAATCCATTAGGAAATAATTTGGTAAAAATTTGATTTTCAATTTATTTAATTATAGTCACTGAATTGATATTTCAAGTTCTTTTAATTTAAATGATAATGAGATAATAGAAAACAAATATATAGTATTAAAGAAACAAAATTACTTATCTTCCATACCCTTTTATTATTTTTAGGCCTAAATTGTTTTATTTATTTATAAAAGCTAATAAAGTACATTTTTAACTAAATATTTTTATTAAGAGAGGACAAGGTGATTTTCAAAAAAATGCAAATAAATAGCGGTTACTTTATACATAGCAAATTACTTTATTGACTGATTAATAAATCAGGGTTTGAAATTTTAAAAAAAAAGTTCCATTTTAGCAATTTTGAAAGAACTTTAAGGAAAAAAGTTGTTGAAATAAAAGTTTCAAGGATCTTTTGAAGGATAAAGTACACATTTAATTACACAAGTTAAGTGCTAAAAAAAAAATCATATTGAATGAGAAATAAATAGGCTTAGATTACAGATGTAATTTTTCTTAAATGAATTTACGGATTCTGATAATTTCTTTGTTAGAATAGCTTATAATATACAATTATTATTTTTTAAATTTACTTCTTAATGAAGTTAATTGCTTTAACAAAAATTTAAAATTTCAATTAAAATATTTATTAATTATGTTAACTTCATTAAGAAGAATAGAAGGATTGAAAACAGAAATTCTCGTTACATTAAAACTGATTGAGAAGAAAAGATAAATTTTTATTTAAAGCTCTGAATTAAATATGCTGGCTTACCAAGCTCATACAATGTTCCATCTTTGCACACAAATGCAACAAAGTGGTGAAGCACAGGATTATCATCAGTCGGCAACTGAAATAAAAAAAAAAATATTAAAAATGATTTTTAATGGTATTAAGTAAAATAGTAATTATTCCCAGTAAGGAATATTTTTGATAAATCATTAGAAGAAGGATAAAAAATCAAGATTAGCTGTAAATTATAATAATAAAAATTTACAAAAGTTATGATAATTTAAAAGGAAAAAGACAGAATTATAATACAATTTTTACATAAGGTGGCAATAAAAATAATATAAAAATGGTTCATGTTAGGTGTAAGGTATTTTAACAGTATCTTAACTCAAATCAATATTCAATTTGAGTTTTTATAATTATTTTTCTAATTAAAAAAAAACAGAAATGAGTTCTACTAAAAGAGTTCAATGCGAAAAGCATAGCATTACATTATTTTTTCATACAAAAAAATATTAATTTTTCTAAAAAAATTAATTTATTACTTTCTTACATATCCAATATTTCATTCATTATTCATTGTTTTTATCTTCATTCTATACTGCTTAAATTTATTTCTTTGATTTATCATAACATGCAAATGCATTGTCCATGGTTTGAAACCTTGGTCTTAATAAAAAATTATGTTTTTACCACAAAAATTCTCAATTAAAGCTTTTATAGAACTTTTATTTTGAGAAAACTTTTACTTAAAAGTTAGGGGTGGTTACTTTCATTTATTGTACCCTTTACAAATGTTGCCGTGGAAAGTTCCTAAAAGAATGCAAAGGATAAAAAGATTGAAATCAACTTACATATTAAACAGTAATTTGTATTACTCTATTTTATTATATTTATCTATTTTAGAAATTGATAACAGAGTGATTTTCTAAGCAAAGATGATAAATAAGAATCATTTTACTCCATAAAGCCTTTTCTTTGTGCAGTAACACTCTGAGCAAAATTCTATTTTCAAAATTAAAAAAAGAAAACTAATATATAGAAAAAATTAAAAAAAGAAAACTAATATATAGAAAAAATTAAAAAAAGAAAACTAATATATAGAAAAAATTAAAAAAAGAAAACTAATATATAGAAAATTGGCAATCAAAGTTCAAGTTTATTATCTAGGATATCTATACTAATATTTAAGATCAATTTTTCTTCAAAAAGTTGATATTATTTTAATATAAATTGCTAGCTCCTGAAATGCTTTAAATATTAATTCACCTTACTATATAATAATTTTTCATTCATATCTAACTATTTAATTTTCTTTATCACTATTTCGTAAATATTTGGTTTATCATTAGCACTCTCATATTGATTCAATTATTTTTATTTTCTTATTAGTCGAACAAGATCTCATAAATAGCTCTGTTGAAGACCTACAACATAGCCTGAAACATTGGCACACAATAAAATAAGGCTTTTTGTGTGTAATTTAATTTAGGACTGCACCCCCAACCAACTTCTCCAACCAATATTTATAGAGTAAATTAGATCAATTGAAGTAAAATCTTACAGTGAAGAGAAAATATATAACAAATTTGTTATGGTTGACACTTTGAAATTTGACTTTTAAAAAATACCTGTGATTGACCCTCTGTTGCAATTTCGGTATGAGCAGTAATAAATCCTTGATTACTAGCTAATGCATCTCCTCTTTCTTCTGGTGTAAGTGATTTTGTATCTTCTAAGAACTGCTTCAGGAACCCATCCCCAAGCTGGATACTGTTGACACAATAAACTCCATTACATATAAACAACACACTCATAGTTTGGCATAAATGCAAACAATATTTGGAATAAAAATTTATTGAATCTAATGCCAAAAATGATCCTTTCATTTAAATGTGAAGTAGTATTCCACTTAATCGGAACAAGTATCCTGGAGGGGAGAGAGACATTAACTATTTCTACGGCAAGGGCACCTAATCTTTTTATAACATGTTCCACAACTAGAGTTTCCCAATATTGAGGTGTGCTGCAACTGTATTAACTTATGTCTTGCTACCTTCAAAATAATTATTTCTACTAGATAATATGGCACTTATAAAAAATATTTTTAATCCCATGTTAATTTTAAGAATATACTAATATAATAGAAACAGCGGTACTAGTTCACAACAGCTCCGCACGGATTACGCATGGTTCACAATCACTTCGATCACACTTGTTCCTGGAATCCCGAATGCGTTCGTGTTTCTCCGAAAGAGAACGAAGGCAACCGATCTCTTGGGCCAATTACTATTAACTTTCCCACCATTTAAGTACTTTAACCTTAACCACGTTCAGTTATATAGCAGGAGCAGATTTACATTCGAAATTTAGGCTACACATCATGAAACCTGATTTGAGCTTGTACATATACTATAGATCTGTAAAAAAGAAATAGTAATACATAAAAATCTTTAATTATTGCATCTCTGGCTGCTATTTCACGATATTATTTTTCTTATAGATGATTTCCAATATTCATTATCTTGGAATTATTACATATTCTTCGTCAGTTGTTTCCCAAATACGTTAATTCCTTTCTCGAAAATAAATACTTTTTTTTTGTACCAAAGCCTACAATAATCCCTTTTTTCGTATTACCTAGAAAAATAACTGCGAATAACAATAATTACACATCATAATTACAAATCAGACAGTATATGCATACAAAGCGCCCCCCTCCACTAGAAAATAGCGCCTCGTATTATTAGAAATCTAAAAAAATACATAAACTAGATAGACGATTGCGCAATTCTAAAAAAGGTTTGCTAAAATAAGTTGTAAATTCAATTATTCCAACTTCTATTGAAAAACTCGAATAACAAAAAAAAAGATAATAGATAACTTAAAATTATTTATTATCCAAATGATAAAAAATCTTTTATACACAGTTATAAAAGATAATATACAGTATATGCGTATTTACAGCCACTACATGTAAGCACGTGTCAATAAAAATGTTATTACTAAAAGTTTTTTTTTTAATAGGGAAGAAACTTGAAGAAACTACTCAAACATTATTTTATGTTTCTTTTTTTTTTTCTTTCAAAGTAATAACCGTTAATATAAAAATTAATAATTAACTAATTAGTAAATACACAATTTTTTAATAAGGAAGTTCCATAAAGGGAATACGTTGTATTTTTTTCAAAAATGCATGAAAAGGGATTGTATTATGGGGCAATAGCTGACGTCATAAAAGACGACAACATTCGGCTGTTTTCGGGATTCCATGAACAAGTGTGATCGAAGTGATTGTGAACGAGGCGTAATCCGTGCGGAACTCTTGTGAACTAGTACCGAAACAGCTGATAACTATTATTTTTACGATAAAATATATCTAACAGGATAATAATTTGGTTATATATATAAAACATGCCAAGTCTAAATACTTTTCATCCCAGGAGAACTTGATTTTTTTAAATAAAATAATTAATAATAACAAATTTAGAAACCTATGCGAAACCCAAACCCACATGCCGATCCTGAATCCTCTGAGCATATACTAATCTTGAACTCTCTGCTTTGTGTTGAATACCATACTTCTAGGGTATCAGAAAAAAAATATATTATTGGTTTCCATTAAGAAGAAAATTACTTCTGAATCATTTTGATTTTAGAGATAATCCTATATTAATAATATGAGGGTGCGAGACATTAGACTCCTTGTCTGTGCTCTAGTGTTGTAGCAAAAATTAATTATCAGTGTGTCATGGATTTAATTGAAGTCAGGGGACTCTCATGGGCCACACACAGCCTCTTTGACTTCATTGGTCTAGTGGGTTTATGTTATTTTATAATTCTTAAATGAAGAATTTAAATTCTTAGTTTTTAAGTTAGAACTTAATAATAAAAATAAAATATTAGGACACCAGAAAACTGACAAATTAAAATAAAATAATACTACTCACTCATTATCATTGTTAGCAACAGAGTGGACAAGTGCAACAGTTCCACATGAATTAGAAATGACTTGTTTTAAATAATAAACATTTGGTGATACTTCTTGACCTTTTTCTTTTAATGCAGCTTCTTGTTCTTCCTTTAACTTTTCATACTACAAACAAATAAAAATAATCATTAAGAAATTAGAAAAAAAAGTTAAATAATTTGTTTCTCTAACAATGTTCTTATCAATTTCCTCCGGGTCCATGTTTTTCAAATGGACATACATTTTAGGGGATAGCTCAGGTTAAATCTATATCATATAAAAATAAGATGCATCAGTTTTAGGTAGATTAATATTTCTTTTAAAAAACGTTTCCATTAGTTAGTGGAATTAAAAAGCCATTTTTCCATAATCCTACTGAAATTCTCTCTTTTACAAAAGTGATTAAAAGATAGATTAAAATAAATAATTAGTTAATTATATTTTTATAGTTCCTTATTTGAAGGTGAAACAAAAAATTAAAGATCTCTCAAAGATAAAATCATGTGGTATTAAACAAACTACAGGTAACAACACGATTCACAATTTGTGTATATAGAGTAGAATTAAACAATATTTAAACCTTGTAAATTTAAAAATATTGATTTGGTTCAAATCATGATTCAAGCAGCATATTAGTCACATAGTCAAGAAATGGTAACCAATATTGATTTCTCGGGCATGACTTGTCCCCCACAACAATCCAATACACCCAAGGCCAAGTATATATATTGACCTTAGGAAAAACAATATTAATAAAGAACAAAAACTAAAACTAAAACCTTCCCATCCATAACATAACACAAAATAAGATTAATCACAAAATAATTACATTTTAACAATTAATTATGAATGTCTTGCATGTCAACTACTTAAAAATATAAAAGAAAATTCCTTTGAAAAGATGATTTTATAAATTACCTTTTCAGATGTGGGAAAAAGCAAAATCATTGCTAGAGTAGGTCTAGGAATAATGCCTAACATATCCTTATCTAAACTTAAAACATCTACAACATGCCATTTTTCTGGTACACCAAGTCTTGATAGGAACTGAAAATAAACATAAAAAATCAATGGATTAGCACAATATAAATGTATTAATACTAATGATAGATGATAATAGACAAGAACGATTAAATTTAGTCCTGCAATGTTCCTCAGTAAACTCACCTTATTCATTACCTGAAACAAAGATAAAACAAGTGCATAAGTAAATTACAATTAATTTAATCACATAAGATTCATTGACATCAGTTTAAATATTTGAACCAAAACTTACTTCAGGATTAGATTCAATTGGTACCCATTTTGAAGCCATTCTGACAATTCAAAATTTTATCGTGGATCTTATTAGTTTCCTGTATTAGCAAAAGCGCTTAACAATGTCTGTTAAAGCAATAGTACAAAACCTTGACAAGTAATATGCCTAACTAACTAACTAACTGATCTGGCACCAAATGTTTCAAAGCCGGCAAGTCAGAAGAAGATAACTACATTAGTCATGGGTAATTCCATTATCACTTACCGATACAAATTATATGAGTTTAAGTCTATATTAAATTACAGTCATGAACTATTATAAATTTAAATTTTGAATACAAAAAATATAATAGAATATTGGTTCGTCATAAAAAAATACTATGAAAAATTGTATAATAATCAAAATGGCACTGCAGCTCCTATGGTCAATATTAGGAAAAGGCGGTTATTTTTAAATAACTGGTTAGTAGTTATTTTTTTAAGACAACAAAATTATTTTTGCTTTCACTAAACTATGTTTGAACTATATAGTAAGGGAAAATATATTGAACTTCGAATCTAAGTTTTCAACGGAAACACACGTTTTATTGTTTCTTAAGTCCAATTACCAAGTCTAGAAAAATGATACGTAATAATGTCTGGATTTATGGTAATCAATAACTCAAATACAAAAAGTTGTTAGAAGTTACAATTACATGTTTAAGATAGGTTTATTTATGTCTGGGATGTTTCAACAACGTTTTCACTAAAATAGGATTAGTAGAAGTGTTATTTTATATCACTAGCGGATCCAGGATTTAATTTTGGAGGAGGGCTTCAGTCCGAAAGCTTTTTTTTCATGTATATAATAATAATTATTTTAGAAAAAAGAAAGATACTGACTTCCTGCATAAAATGGTGTTTAAGTGATTCTTGAAATCCTGTTAAATGTAATTACACGTACAATAATATTTTAATAGATAATTTTTTTCCATAAAACATGTTTACATTTTACCATTTTGGGGGGCTTCAGCCCGAAAGGTAGTCCGTACCTACCAAGTTCTGTTCTTATTATCCCATACTACATTTTTATCTCTTTGTCATGTATAAAGTAATCAATTACACTTCTCATACTCTTCCCCTGACCTTTAAATATAATTCTGAAACAAAACTATGAATTTTTATACAAAACTCCCTATCTAGATACATTTTTTGTCAGTAGAGATCACGGAGAAAACCTCATGATTGTCACCCTACCATAATTCCAGGTTGCCTGTTTTCAATACCCATTACCGAGCCCAGGATTTATATAATGGTAATTACTCTAGAAGGAAAAGGAAATTACTTATATAAAAATGATGTTTAAGTGATCCTTAAAGGCCTATCCAAAAAAACAAAAATATTTACAGGAACATAATACATTCAGAGGTGTATATTTTCCTTGATACATGCTCATATTTAGTAGCTGAGCATTATAATTTAAAAAGAGAGCATTTATATTTATTTAATTATTTAGCATAAATCACTCACAGAAACAAATACGGGCCAATGAATGACCCTATCTATTAATTTAAACGAATATTTAACTATGGTTTTTTTTTCCTAAAAAGACAAAATGAAAAAAACTTCTATTTATAAAAAAAATAATAACTGTATTTATTATACTAGCTCTAAATTTGATTTTTTTTTTTTTCTTTTTTGTACTAACCGCATTCGTGCACTGAAAGATGTGAACCATAGGCCTATGTTTTTGAAGCATTTTAGGTAGACAAATGTGTTGTATTTTTGTCTTATTCGTGAATTCAAATCTTGGAAAGTATTAAATAAAGCGAAAATTATATTAAATTTTTATCCCCAAAAATGAAACAAACGTGGTTAAAAAAAATTAAGTATTTTGTTTCAAATTCTTATATAATAGTTTTATAAATCCACCTATGTTCCTAATTAATGTACTTAATAAATTCACTACTTCTAAGTACCAAGATCACAACTTTTCTTCACTTAGGCTTTCATTAAGTTTCTTCGAAGAATTTATTTATTTTTTCTGTTCTTCCCTACCTCGCCTTTTAGGCTATACGGGGTTTTCCCGGGCCGGGGAGTGAGAGCGCGGAATTTAAAATCCCCTCCGGCAACGGGACGCGAACTCGTACTTTTTAAATCATCTCAAATCTGTAATCTGGTTGCCAGGCAACTCGCGGTGCTGTGCACACGCTTTAGCCCATACGGCCACCCCGCCCCCAAAATTTATTTTGCTTGTATTTCATGTTCTGTTGGCCTTTGCCCAATGGTGTATCATAGGTTTCTCTCGTCCAGTGCAGATTACAAATATGCCTTCCACTCCTACAAAGTCCTATTAACAAAATCCCTAACCCCATTTCTCCTAGAGATTATCGCCTAATTTCCATCCTCTCTAACATATCGAAACCTTTAGAAAAATTGGTCCAGTCCCCAATATCCTATTTCCTCGTAGAGTTCAAAGTTCTTTATCCTTTCCAATCTGGCTTCCGCCCGGGCTTCTCCATTCAATCATCTTTAGTTAAAATCACAAATGACATATACATACTGCAATGGACGAAAACAAGCTAACTGTATTATAACTCCTGGACTTCCCTAAAGCATTCGATTCGTTAGACCATTCCTTCACTAAATTAAAATCTCTATCCTTCTCCAATAGTGCAATCCTTTGCTTCCAATCTTTTCTTTTTCATCGGACTTAAGTAGTTAATACTAAATCGATGTTCCTTCCTCATTATGTCCTCTGGAGGAGCCCAAGGTTCGAGCATTTCCTCTCTCCTTTTCAATTCCTATATTAATGGCCTTCCTAGTTCAATCCTCTATTGCTTCCAAATTTATTTATCCTTTCCACCCACCGACTTGTTAGCAGCAGTTGCCAATATTCAGACAGACCTAGATAGGATCAGTGCCTCGGCAAGCTTGAATAAATTAACGTTAAACGCTACAAAAACTCAGTCCATTTTTATAGGATCTAACTCCGTCCTCAGATCCATTAACACCATTCCTTCTTTAATTATTAGTAACCAACCTATCTCATTCACATCCTCTGTAAAAAAAACTTAGGAATTCTCATTGACGAAATCCTTTACTGGAAACCTCATATAGCTTATATGTCTAGAAAAACTATTGGTACTCCTAACTTATTCCATCGTTCTCGTCATCTTCCACAGCTTATCATCCGCAAGCTCCTCCTTTCCGTATTGATTTTCCCCACTTTGAATACGGCTGTGTGGTATATGGTGGCCTCTCAATTGTGCTCTATGATAAACTGAAGAAAATCTTTAACTGTTTATTAATATTTGCTTATAATAGATTTGTGGGCCCCAGGTGTCCCACCTGTATAGTGAGTTAAAGTGGCTTTTCTCCTACTTCTGCCGCCGATACATCTTTGGACATTTTCTGTACCAAACGATCAACATCCTTACTATATCTACCATCTTCTTCAGCCCAAACACTCAGTTCATTCGCAGAAGACAAGATCACTTGTCTCTGACCTCTATATTCCCTCACATAGAACAAAATCCTTTATAGCCCGCTCCGTTACCTTTTGGAATTATTTACCATCTTACATCCGTTATACCTTTTCTCTGTCATCATTCAAATACCTCCTTACACCCCAAACAGACGATATGCAAACGTAAAATTTCTATTCATGAATTGAATTTTATTAGAAGTAAATAGTAGTGCCCACTATTCACGGGCGGATCTCCAGGGGGGGGGGGCTTTCGGGCTGAAGCCTCCTCCTCCCCCCAAAATGGGAAAATATAACCATGTTTTATGGAAAAAATTATCTCTCTTAAAGTATTATTGTTCGTGTAATTAAATTTAAAAGGACTTAAGGAATCACTTAAACACCATCTCATATAGATAGCTAGTTTCTTTCTTTTTTTAAAAAAGTAAATATCGTCATTTCTATGAAAAAAAAGAGCTTTCGGGCTGAAGCCTCCCCCCCAAAATTATATCCTGGATCCGCTAGTGCCACTATTCAAATCTTAACATAAAAAATCAATGTTTTTTCTTTACTAACTTTTGTTATTTATTCGTTGTTCCAGGTTTTGTTTTAGCTTCCTGTATATATACGATAGGTTGTTTTGTTCTCTTTACTCACATTACTACTATAACTATTCTTGAGAAGATTCTATTTTTATTTTTTATTATTTACAGATTATTTTTAAATTACAGTATATTTTAGAATTTGTATTAAGTTAGCCTATTGTTTATTAACACTAAACATATTTGTTCTTTTCTCCAGGTTTTGATTTTTTTTATATATATATATATAGAATACATATTTTTTTTTTTTTGTTATCGTTTCTCACATTACAACTATAACTATTCTTTAAACGATTTTATTTTAGTTTTGGTTCTTTATACATTATTATTTAAATTGCTGCATATATAGTTAGAATTTTTATTAAGTTAGTTTTTGGCCAGATATGTATTTTTTTATTTGTTCATCATTGTTATTCTGAGGGTACTTTGTCCCAGAATAAAGTTTCTCTATTCTATTAAAAAAAAAAAGTAAAATATTATTTTTAACATTTACTAATATCATTACAAACTTTATTATAGTGAAGAAAAAAGGAAGCTATAAAGAGAGTATTAGCAACAAAAAAATATTTTTATTATTGAATCTATCGGTGCGGTAATTATTTTATTGGATCTTAAATAGAGAAAGAAAACCGCTTTTAGTTCGTAGTTTTTCATTAGTTTCGAATGTTTTAAAATCCATTGTTTTGATGGTTATAAATTTTTTAACCAATTTTATTTTTTGTCGCAAAGGTTTTAATTGTTATGACTTTACTTATTTCACTCAGCATTCTTGTCTAATAAGCTAATTAATTCTTCTTCAATTTCTATGTAAGAGAAAATCGTATTCACTAGCAGATTCAGCGTTTCATTTTGAGAGGTCTTTCTTTTCTTTGTATCTTTATAACACTTTCTTTAAAACAGTAATTACTCCGAATGTTTGATAGCTTGAGTGCAGAAAATTTAAAAACAAATGTTTGAAAGATTAAAATCTATAAAATAAAACCATAAAAATGAACCAAAAATTACAAATAACCATGAAGTGGTTGTTTACACTCCAAAACTTCCTAAATATTTAAAAGGAAACGATTCCATTTAGGCAGGGCCAGAACTAGGTATGGACAAAGGGAGCTCTTCCGCATGCAGCAAAAATTAGAAGGCGCCAAATTTCGAGATATTTTTATAAATAATATATTATCCTATATATTATTTCTAAAAGGTATTTTTTTTTTGTCGGTAGGTCATAACTTCGTCAATTCTTCATCTAATCCAATGATTGAAAACTCATATTGAAGATATTCTTCTCCTTCACATGCGAAAAATAGTCCTATCCCCCCGAAATTTCTTGAAACAAAGTTATGAAGGAAAAGAAACTTTATTTGCGAATTACTCAAAAATTATGCATTTTTTTCTTGATTGCGTCCATGATAATTAGAAAGATTACTAAATCATCTACAAAACCAAAATCACATCGTAAAAATCTGACAAATATTAACAAAGATACAGTCCATTAGTTTTGGTATAGTTAACAATGTCTTCTTCTTTAAAGATATTGCATTTAGGAGTAGAACAGTCTACTACACTTTTTTTCCTGGCTGATATATTAACTTTATTATTCCTTAAAGGCATTTGTTCTTACATTTTATTTTTTTAATAATTTAGAAAATTCCATGATCGGGGCATTATTTTGTCTTCATTACTTTTATTATCTTTCCAGTCAGCGTTTATAAATAGGTAAAAATAGACAATTTGCACAAATATTTTGGTCTATTATGTTTAATGGAATATTGTAATCGACCAAGAAAAAAATATTAATTTCTTCCTTACATAGGAACTACTTATTTCCATATTGTTTTGCTATTTCTTTGCTAAACAAAATTTTCTGCGGATTATTCGCACGGGCCAACTAGTCTTTACTAATTATTAATATTATCCATAAATAGTATTATCTTGTGATGATTTTTATCTCGAAATATATATCCTAAGATATTGATATAATATGTTTACTGTTATTGAGTTTATCTTACAATTAGTACCGGCCCAGGGTGTAATCTATACTCGATAAAATAGTTGCTATGAAAAATGGTTTGAATATTAAGCCTTTAATATGTTAAAAAAATTGAATTAAAAGTTCTTGCGGATGATAATAGTAAATAATATATAATAATATATTATATATTATAAAAATAATAATAATAGTAATAGGTAAATATGTACCAGCAGCCGAACACACAGGCAAATCGAAAATTCTCACCCAAATTCGATCAATACTTATGTTGATGTTTTTCCAGACCCCTATTATATAATTTTAATTTTCGTATGGATCTAATTTAACTTAGAGAAGGTGATATTGATCGACTACATTTCCAAGCTTCACGGGCGGATCTACGGGGGGGGCTTTCGGGCTGAAGCCCCCCCCAAAATGGTAAAATATAACCATGTTTTATCGAAAAAAATATTAAAAAAGTATCTCTTAAAGTATTATTGTTCGTGTAATTACATTTAAAAGGGTTTTAGGGATCACTTAAACACCATTTCATATAGGTAGTTAGTTTCTTTCTTTTTTTCCAAAGTAATTATCGTTATTTTTATGAAAAAAAAACAACTTTCGGGCTTAAGCCCCCCCAAAAAAATAAATCCTGGATCCGCTAGTGCCAAGCTTCGTTGTTAGGTGTTATTAACATTTTGTTTACAATGAAGATCTCAAAACTAGAGAAGAGCGAAAGACGGTATACAATAAAAAAGTAATAAATAATTAATTCCTAATTAAGGGTATGTTATTCTAAGTAATTGGGATTTGTCATTTCTTCAAAAAATTCGGTTTCTTTTGACACCTCGTTTTTCATTCGCTTCTAGACACGGAAAAGAGGTCTATATACTGCATATAGCAAACTTAACTGTATAAAGCAAAGAATAATTCAATAGAATAAACACCCATTCCACTGAAATATTGGAAATCACTCGTACTGTCATTAGCAATTAGCAGCCTTCAAGAGATTAGTAATTCCGAGCTGAATAAGACCATGTGCATGCACCATAAGCATGCATTCTCAATATGGATTGCTTCTCTTCTGTTAAATGTCGTCCAATTAATATGTTTACCAAGAGTAATGTTTACTTTACACTCACCACATAATTTTCATAATTCATAAAAATATTTTTCAGGTATTATTATTAATTATTATTATGGCGCTACGGTCCTGCAAGAACCCGTGCCTCCTCGACTACATCCAACCAATCTCCACCGTCTTGTGATACTTCTCTCCATGTTCGAACGCCCAGCATCATATCGTCCTCCAGCCATCTTACAGTGGCTTAATAATTATTAAGCCACTGTAAGCCATCTGATCCGAGGGCGCCCTCTACTTCTATTTTTTAATTAAACGAATTTATTTTAATGTAAATCGTACACGAAATGGTATAAAATGAGAAGCTTATTTTTTTAATTCACAAAATTTCATTTGGACTGAATGGAATCTTACGATCAACTAATCTATCAAATTACTTTCTATTGAAAAGTTAAAGTTAGAATTATTATCTAACATTCTCGTTTATTTCTTCACCTTACTGAAAAAATTCTCAAATTAGGCAAAATTGTGCTCCTCAAACACACTGCATTATCATAAAACAAACAATAATAGTCACGCTTGCATTTTATGAATAAAATTTTTCCTTCCATTGATGACCATATCAAATTTAAAAGTTTGTGAAATATTTGAGAATTGTTTCACTTCGCTTTTTGCTCATCTTTCATTAATTAAGTGTTTCTTCAATTTTGTAACTTTTTTTTTCTTTTCTTCCCTGCTTCTCCTTTAATTTAATACTAGAGTTAAATACGCCCCTAGCACTCCTTCTAGAATATTTTATTTCCATCATGTTCTTAGAAACAGTGCAACAGAAAGTATAATAACAAAAAAATACATTTTATACAATTACACTTATATGTTTTGCTTTCCCTCTTCTTAAATGGTTTGAAAGTTCCTCCAAATTGAAATCTCAAAAAAATATGGTTCTCTTCAAAAATTCATAACCCCGTAAAAATGTGCCCTCCTCTAAAATTTAAGATCCTGTAGAAACCTCAACAAATTTTATAGCACTAATTAATTTATATAGGTTATTAATTTAACAATTATATAATACTAAATTTATTTTTTATTTTTATTTTTTATATAACTAGAAAGTTATATACTACCTTTTATTGCAAGATTTTTATAAAATTAAAATCGCTTATCTTAGAAAAAAAAGGAAAATTTATCTGTTTTCTTTATTTGAAATTCTTATAAAAAATAAGTTATTTTGAAATGAAAATAACATTTTAATTTTTTATTTTCCTTGTACCAGTTTTTAAAAAAAATATATACATATACAATCTATCCATTAAATTAAGGAGTATTGTAATCGTATTCTAAAACTTGATATAATTGTAATTTATATTATAATTAGTCTGTAAAGCAAAGCAAGTAGAAATAGCATGTAAATATAAATAATAGCATATTTGTTTAGCAAATTTACACTTTAATTATTTTATGTCATTAATAATTATTTAATTTTGCATAGATAAGCAATAGCTTTGCAGGAACTATATTGTTGACCACAGGTGGATGGATCTACGGGAGAGGGGGCTTCCGCGCTAAAACTTCTCCCTCTCCCCTCTCCCCAAATGGTAAAATATAATCATGTTTTATGGAAATAACGATCTCGTGTAAATACATTTAATAGGACATAAAGAATCACATAAACACCATTTCATATAGGTAGTTAGTTTCTTTATTTTTTCAAAGTAATTATCGTATTATATGAAGAAAAAAAACTTTCTAGTTGAAGCCCGCCCCCTCCCTTCCAAAAAATTAAATCCTGGATTGACTAGTGTTGTTGACTAAACTTCATATAACACTTTAAGTATAAATTCGTGATTCTCGGACTAACAACAAAAAGTGTCGCTCTCTAAGATAAACCCTTGAATAAATACCAATGTAATTTAAAAAAATATATTAATAAATAAAAACTATAATCATTAAACAAGATTAAATTTATTTTATTTATAAATAAGTGTGATAATTTTCAACAACTAACGTAGGGGAAATTAATCAGAAAAGCCTAAGAGGAAAAATCAAAAAATTCAGTTTTACATTTTAATTGAAAACGTTTTTAAACGATAATATTTTCATCCCAAGCTAGATTTGAAGAGAAAATAAATTTCAGAAATATAAAAATCGATCTTATAGTCACCTAGCGTCTCATAAAAGAACTATCGCTTAGGAACCCCTTTCACTCAACTTTTTCGTCATGGCGGATATGCCTTCTTGCTTTTAAGTACTGAACTTTTCAAAAATATTCTTCAGAAATCGATTTTCGTTCCTAAGTACCGATTTTGTTAAGTCTAAAATTGGTTGGTTATATTACAATTCCTACACCCCATAATGGTAATAGACATTGTTTATGCTCTTGATTTATAGGGAAAAAATGTAATGAATTTGTATATAAATTTGATGCTCTTATAATTGAAGGTAAAGGGCAAACATTTGAGTGTTGAAAGGGTAAATAACCTGGGTTCCCTAGGTGATATATTATGAATTTTATTTATCATTTTGTTAATTACAAAACAATATTTATATTCTGATCTGTTTTCATAAAAATATAAATAAATACTTAAAACATTTAACATAAGGGCATTAAATCTAATAAGCAACATAAAATAATAGGTTATGGGGCTCAAGAGAAAAAATATTGACATAAGATTATTGTAAAACTTTAATTTAAATATAATACAAAATAGTATTTATTCAATAGTGAAACAAACCACACTATTTATTTAAGTGTCTGCAGGTAAGTAATAACATCATTTCTTTCCTCTGGTTTTTTCAAACCGGCAAAAACCATTTTGGTGCCTGGTATATATTTTTTCGGGTTCTCGAGATATTCAAACAATACTTCTTCAGTCCAAGTAACACCCTTACTTTTGTTGGCATCGGAATATGAAAACCCTGCAACTGTTCCTGACTTTCTTCCTATTATACCAAACAAATTCGGTCCAACTTTATTTTTACCATCTTTTTCTGTAGTGTGGCACTGGGAACATTTCTGAAGAAATACTTTTTTACCTAATAACGAAAGTACAGGCGTTATTAAGTTTGAGTTTTGAATAAAAACTTATCTATAAAATAATAATTAACAATATCTTAAATTAATCAAAAAATTGCTTTAAATTACCTTTTTCCTCATCTCCTTTAGTGAATCCCATGTTCAGTAATTTTTTTCGTGAAATCTAATAAATGGTACTGTTGTATTGTAACCTAATTATGCACTTTGAATGTTGAGGGTTAATACTGGAGATAACCCTATAGCGCTATCAAAAAACAAATATAACTAAAGCAAGCCAATCAACTGTAAAGAAATGAATACACCACATGTTGCTTTGGTAATTCTACACACACAACGCTCATACCAAACAAAAAGTACCAAACAAAATTCAGTGTGCTAAATGAAATATGTAGTAAATAACTAAATTTGAAGTTTATAAATTAATTGTAAGAAGGAATTACTAAACAAGATGGATGCAACTAAAGCACTGATATGGGGAACAGGAAAAATTGTAACAAGCACTGGCATTGTTGCTAGTATAGCATGCTTAATATTCTGGATAAGAGTGGAGAAGAAAGGCACCATATACAGACTTAAAAACTGGTCGACGGAATCAACACAGAAATTAGTTCTTACTTATTTTCACCTCATTTCCTCGTACATATTGAACTTTATCAGTTTTGCTTATGCGCTGTCGTGTTCAAAATTATTAGATACAATAAGCTGCTACCCCTATGAAGTAATTATTGGCATCATTGTTCTATTGAGCATATTAACGACATTATTAGAATTCATACCTTATTGCCCAGAAAACAACTTAATCAAAATTATTACCTGGTTTTTGCACTCTTCAGCTCTTGGACTACCGTTGACATTCTTTGGAACTAGGATTTGTACGACTGCTGCTCTACAAACAATGTTTATGCTTGGAGTTTCTTCCTTGATGTCATTTTTAGCTCCTGCTGATTTTTATAAAGCATTGGAAGACCGATTGACCAATTTATATTATTTAGTTACGCTATCGTCTATTTGCTGTTTACTGATTGAGTTCCCAGCAACAACGGTATCAATTAGTTTACTTACAATTAATTTCTTAGGCGGTATCGTGCTGTATTTTTGTACTTTCATCGTTAATACTCAATTTCTGTTAAATGACATATTGACTAATGAAAACTATGACCCAATATACACCTCTGCGGTTCTTTACCTTTGTACGATGAATTTATACATCCGTAATGCTTTATACAACATTGTAGAATGTTCAAAATTATGATTTAAGCATAATCACATAATAAAAAACACTTTAAATCTTTACATAAATGTTTCTTATTTATTTTTATATACACACTGGTGTAAAAAGGTTTTCGAATAAACCAAATATTTATAAAAATGACAGATGTTATAATTTAAAAGTTTTTTATCTTTTCGATTTCAAATTGATTTAATCTAGTAGACATTATACATAGTTGTAATATATATTTAAATTAGTATAAACGTTCAGGCAGATCTAAAAAACATAAACCTGCTACTGAACAACAATTAAACACATTGCCTTCAAGTACAAAAGATTCGAAAAATGAAGAATTAGTTTAGGATCGCAAACTACGGATGATGGAGCTAACTTTCTTCAGGTATATATATATAATAGTTCAGGTATATATATATATATATATATATATATATATATATATATATATATATATATACCTGAACTATTACTAAACAATTTATGAGAACCAAATTAGGTGGCAAGGATAAGGACTGTAGGGGCCTACGCCACTACCGCTTTTATATAATAAAAGTCACTTTTTATTCTCATTTGATTGTTATCAAACTAGTGTCACATCAGTTTTTAATTATTAGTCTTTCAAGTTCAAGTTCCATATAGATTACATTCAAGAGTTAGTTACATTCAATAATCATATACCTAGAAATATTCAATAAATATCCAGTGTAATTTCTTCTTATAGTGACAATTAAAATATTTTATTGGCAAACTAGGAATTGCTTTGACAAGTCTAAAAGCCAAAAAAGAACAAACAAACAAATTTTATTTAAGCACAACCGCTAAAAAATAAGCAGAGAACTGACTCAGGAAATAGCCGATGCTACTAGGATCCAAGTAAACTCCCTTCGTTAGACCTTAAAAATGTTTGTGGCCTTTTGGGCACCTCTGGGTTGCTTTGTGGAAATTCATGGAGGAGAGCATAGGCGCGGAATTTCCATTCTACGTGAGGGGACGATGATCCCTCCCTCCCCCAAGAAAATCTTTGGAGTTCATATTATGTCTAAAAATTAACATAATTAGCATATTGTTGTAAAACGAACAATATAATACACATATGTAAATAAATTTATATACCTATAGCTTTTTTGTTTTGTTTTTAATTAATCATTTTTTCATTCGTATTGGTATATTTGAAAATATGTTAAAAAAGCAATGATATATATTACATATTTTTATTATGAAGCAGTGAGCTGAATCCTCAATTCTCCGATGCTTCAAAATTTTCCCAGGAAATGTAATAAAATCTTCAATTAAAAATGGAAGGATGCACATGTTATATTATGTAACAGAAGTAATTGAAATTGCTACCTTCCTCGCCTTTTTAGGATATACGGGGCTTTTCCCGGGCCAGGGATGACGGCGGGGAATTTGAAAGACCCCCAGGCACCGGACGCGAACTCGTAATTTTATTGTTTCCAGCTTTGGTTATCAGGTTGCCAGGAAACGCGCAGTGCTGTGCACACAGGTTAGCCCGTTCGGCCCCTCCCCCGCCCCCAATTGAAATTGAACTGTTTGATATTGTTAATCACCCAACAAACTGCTTGGATACAGTGGTATCCATCACTAGCGGATCCAGGATTTAATTTTGGGAGGGGCTTCAGCCCGAAAATTTTTTTTTTTATATACATATAACGATAATTAATTTGAAAAAAAGAAATTAACTACCTATATAAAATGGTGTTTAAGTGGTTCTTGAAGTCCTATTAAATGTAATTAGGCGAACAAGAATACTTTAAGAGATAGTTTTTAATATTTTTTTCTGTGATGCATGACTATATTTTAATCATGTAGGGGGGGGAGGCTTCAGCCCGAAAGCCTCCCCCCCCTCTCCCCGTAGATAGATATTTTATCGCTTTCTTCTTCTTAAAACCAATGTAAGCGAAAATAGAATTTAAAACATCGTAGATCATATACAATTACATTTGCTGCAGTCTATTCTTTGTCCTCTGGTTTGAAACGTTTCATTCCAAATGTGCTCCTCTCAACAATTGTGATGGCGCAACTTGCGCCATGAAACCCCATTCTGGGCACCCTGGAGTAGGATACATGGATGTAGAAATGACAATAAATAATGAGCGATAAAAACTCTATGTTGATTTATGGGAATTTAATTTATAAACTAATTGATAAAATAAGTGAGTTAGAATGACCTGAGCCATTTATCGCATTCGATCTTCTTCCTAGTAAACCAGCAGGCAGCAAAAAAAGGGCTTACCGCACCTTTCAAAACTGTCCTTGGCTCAGAAATTTAATTTCAGAGAGAAATGTTAGATATGGAGCAATATCATAGAAAAAGATATAAATATATAAAAAACATTTAAAAAAGCGAAGAATAAAAACAACTTGAAAAATGAAATTCTGATATCACTTGAGAAGATCCAAAGTCTTTGAAAATGCAAGAAGGAACTAATGGAAAGATTATTTGGTGGAAGTTATATGTAGTAGACAGGAGAAGACAGTTGCACTATAACTATGCAATTTATGAGAACCAAATTAGGTGGCAAAGGACTGTAATTGCATTTTCTAAAGAATCTTTTCAAAAATGTTAAAAATTAATCAGTGATTTAGAAAGAGAAATGTATTCTCTAGAGGTTTTATTTCAAGGCGTTTTACGTTATTGTTGGACATTTAATTACAAATGACGCTTGATTTTCAACTTTAATTTGACCGACTTGTAAAAATTTACTTCACAGAAATTTTTTATAACCCAAAGCCAATTATTTTTTAAAATTTCGAGATGTCTTATTTTTCCTGACTATCCAGCTTTATTGAAAGACGAACTATGACTAAATTAAGCCAACTGCTCAATCTCAGAGACCTAAAAACTAACTCAAATCAAAGTCGTCAACCCGCCATCTTTGGATGCCATTTTAGAAAAGTGCGGCCACTTGTTTGGGGAGGAAGGGGCGAACATTGTTTTGTTTTTTTAATATATAGTTACAAGGAACACAAAGATATACAATTTATAGTGATGTGGGGAGAGGGGAGGAGTGCTGGAGAGGGAGGTCTTGCCCATGGACTACCCTCTCCCACCTAATGTTTTGCCCCTACTCCATCACTTCTTAAAAATATTAATACGGGGGGGGGGGAGGGAGGCTTTCCAGCTGAAGTCTCTTCCCCCAAAATGGTAAATTATAATCATGTTTTACAGAAAAAAAAATTAAAAACTATTTCTTAAAGTAGCCTTGTTCGTGTAATTACATTTAATAGGACTCCAAGAACTACTTAAACACCATTTCATATAGGTAGTTAATTTCTTTCTTTTTTTTTATCATATTAATTATCGTTATATGTATATGAAAAAAAAATCTTTCGGGCTGAAGTCCTCACAAAATTAAATCCTGGATCCCCTAGTACTGGGCTCTAAGTAGAGTGAGTTGTATTAGGGGCACCTTATACCTATCAGATACCCAAGTGAATTATTTATAAAGGAATTATTGTGGCCATATATGCGTCCCAACCAGGGCTAGCCTTAGACATATGTATACTCTCTGTGAGAATATAAGATAACTGACGATACAAGATGAAGAGTACAAGCCTAGCGGATTTATCGGAATATCTCTTAGTAGGATTGATAAGAAGATGAAGAACTAGAATATAGGAAAAGATAATCCATGAAACATCAAAATAATGGAACTGATGATGGATAATGAACCAATAACCCAGAAGGGATTATTTCTCAATCTTACTTTACAACTGGAAACAACATGTGTACTCCAGGCCTCATAGTTCCTTCTCATAGTTCCTCGGGTGAAATGTGGGCTTTCGAGCAAATCCAATGATAAGAATATCAATTCCCAATGTTCTGGATGTGGGGTATATGAAACCACTGATGATATCATACTTGTCTGTACCACCTCTGAGGCACAAGCCAAGCTGCTTAGGAAGACAAGATCTGCATTCTGACGGGTAACGATGTTCCTCAAAATACCGAAACACCCGTTTGACAACATCTATTTGTAAGGATGAAAAGTAGTCGGTACAGCCTATTTTTTGGATAGGAAAGAAGGAAGACTACCGTAAATGGTAGTAGAGGACAGTTGCTGAAGTAAAGAAGAGCAAACTGTATGCACAGCTAGAGATAAAAATGTAATTGTTTTGTATGGAACAGTGAGTTTTAACAAAGGCATGCATAGCTCCCTACAACTGCAAACACATATATTGCCTAACATGCAGGGCAAAGTTATGAACAATTATAATATCAGTTATTTTGATAACATTTTGTGATCCTGGTCCTGATGATGATGTTCTTATAATGACTGATTTGAAGAGTTGGCTTATTGTGAAATGGATTATCAAACATCAGTTGCCTGAAAGAATCCTGCGATTATGGCAATTAATGAATAACAGAATAGAGGAATAAGTAGTTTTAAAATAAATTAAATGTTATGTCATAATATTAGGTACTCTACCATTAATATATTGCTTCCAGAGGTTTACAAAATAAAGCTATTCCCATTTTTTGTAAGGGTTGTGGGAATATTCTGAAACCATAAAATAGTGGTGGGGGGCACTAGCGGATCCAGAATTTAATTTTGGAGGGGGCTTCAGCCCGAAAGCTTTTTTTTCATAAAAATGACGATAATTACTTTGAAAAAAAAAAGAAACAAAATATCTATATGAAATGGTGTTTAAGTGAAACTTAAGTCCTTTAAAATGTAATTACACGAAAAATAATACTTTAAGATATAATTTTTAATATATTTTTCCATAAAACTTGGTTATATTTTACCATTTTGGGGGGGCTTCAGCCCGAAAGCCCCTCTCCCTGTAGATCCGCCCATGGTGGGGGATGCAAGAGAAGTGAATCAAAGGCACAAGACCTGGACACATCAGTGAATAGACAAACAGTTGAAACAAAACTTCTATAGTGCTTGATCAATTATTTTACTTATCACAGAAGTTACTTTTTTTTAACCTTATTTATTTCTTTAAGCATTATTGTATGACAGAACCATTTCCCTTTCAAAAACCAATCTTTTGACTTTATGGTCCTCTTTTTCACTTTCTTTTTCATTACATGAACATACATCATAAAGAGCAATTCAGTAACTTGTTCAATAAAAAAGACAAATCCTACAATTTCCTACTTTTCAGAAGAGCATGATTAAGTGATTCTTGAAGGAAAAAAACAAACCGAAATAACAGTAATCACTGAAAAAGCAATACTTTCAAATTTCGCATTCTTAAATTATCAGTGAAAATATCAACTTAATAAAATAATCACATAATTTATCATATCATCAGTATTCTAGAAAAACGGTGAAGTAAACGAAGTAGGTATTTTCTAATTCTAGATTCATGACATAAATAAATACTTATGTGTAAAAACTACAAATCCCTAACTTTCATAATTGAACATCACCAGATAAAAACAATAACAATTTCTAAAAATTTTAGTCAAATATGTTATCTTGAATATTTATTTATGAAAATGGTATAATTTGAACTTTTTATTAAGTAGAGTAATTCCACAAAACATTCAATTAATTTTAAATCCTTACTATTTGATCAAAGAAAAACACACAATATGTTAAAACCCTCATTATAATTCAAGGGAACTTTTGTATGGAAAGTTAAAGAAACATCTGAAGACAACCAGCATGATCTTTAACCGCACCTTATTAAAAGAAGGTACCTTCAACCGAACATGGTATAAAACATTTTTCGTTGAAATTTAACTGAGTTCTGATACTACTATCAGTTTATTTTCTGTTTCTTTAATTCATAAGATTGGCCTTGTTTTAAATTCTTTTATTTAACAATCTTCTATTGAAAAACGATATTTTAGAGACTTTAAAACTTTTTAAATAAGACCTATCCAGTTGGCTTAGAAAAAAAAAAAAAAAAAAAATGAATTTCTATTAAGAATTATCATACCACGGTATCACAAAGTTTTACACATTTTATGGTGATAGACTACATAGACAAGAGTCATGCAAGGAAACATGAGTATTTCTATGAGGTTTGCCAGGAAAGGAAAAAATTGAAAAATTCTTGAAGATAATTATTTAAAAAAATTATAAAATAAGAATATTTTATTAGATTTCTTAGCAAATAACAAGTAAAAAACAACTAAATAAATCTAATTTAAAATGGGCAACAAAAACCCAAATAACATTATTGATACAATATTTACAATATAAAGTAACTTTGTCAAACATATACAAATTGTATTATATACATATCTATTCACATATATACAAAATATAAAAAAAATAAATAACTTACTAAATAATAACAGAGATATGGTAAATACCAATTAATTTCTTATAAAAAAGAAACAGACATTAATATAAATAATACTCTTAACTCGATTTTCTCAACCTTACTTTTTTCACAAGGATTGATTTCCTTGGAAACAATTTACACTATTACAATAAATACGAAGTAAAATCATCAATCACCAATAATAGGGCTGACCTGAAAATCAAACCTAAATATCAAATGAATTTTGAAAAGAGAAGGGGCCTAGTAGTAAGTAGCACATGCTTTTCCAAAAAAGAGGACAAGAAGTTCATTCAAAATGAGTGTGATATTGGAATCCAAAATATTAACCATTTATTATACTATCACAAGTAACAAATGCTAAACATAAACATAAATAAAAACTTATATCAGATAAAGAGGGGGAGCAAGGCGGGATATTAATTTAAAAAGTTTGAAGACATAAAAAAAAAAAAGTGGCATGAAATCTGCGTAACTGAATCAACCATCACAGCTCATCAGGGACAAAAATCCAAATTAATAAAAAATGCTGGCATAATCATTATTGCAGATTACAAATAATGATTTAAAAAAAAACAAATAAACCAGAGCCAAAATGATTAATCAAAATACCAGAACAACTTATCAGCATTAAGCAAATCACTGACTAATTCCAAAAACATTATTCCAAAGAATAAAGAAAAATAGCAGGTTAATAAATTAGGGAACAACTAGGAATAATTTGAAACAGAATGAATAAAAACAGTACAATGAAAGAATTAAGAAATCAATCCATAAGAACTAAAAGAGGCAGCTATAACACAAGTGTTATAATGCAACAATGAGTTTTAGGATGGCTTATCATCATTTTAGAATGCTAAGTAGAGTAAGTAGCAGAGTTCTCTTGCAGACATGAGGTATTCTTGAATGCTTTCGACAGGGGCAGCTTCTTCAAAAGAGCTGGTAGAAATTTATACCTGACCATCACAAACTATGTTTTTAACAGCTAAGATCATTTTTATTTAGGACTCTACATTCAAGAAACATTTAATATTATATGGAATGTAAGTAAAAAAAAATAAATAAAATTCATATTTCATCATTAATATTTAATATTTCCTTCGACAAATATTCAGATTGTGCAATTTTTTTTTTTTTTTTTTTTTTTTTTGAATGAGACTTATATCAATCAAAACTGGCTCTGAATGATTTATTTTTTAATTCATTTCTGAAGGAATGATTTATTTTTCAAGTGTGATTGCTTTGTATGATATTCAAACAATGTTTCTACAAAATTATAAATGTTGGCCTAGAATCCTTTTTGAATATTTGAAAAAAAAAAACAGCAATATCATTTTAGTTCATAAAAGAAATTCAGATAAAATAAGGTGAGTAGAAAGTAATATATTTATAAATTAAAGAAAAATAAAATTAATCCTAATAAAATAGGAGCTGATGCACAAAATTAGTTGGTAAATAAAAAAAATTAGGTCATATTTAATTTATATCGCTTCTTCGTTTATTTTGAATAATAAACAGGATGATTATTTAGATGAAGACCACACGGGTTACGCCAGGTTCACAATCACTTCAGTCACACTTGTTCATGAAACGCCCGAAAACAGTTTTTCAGATACACCCGGATGCATTCGGCACTCCATGAACAAGTGGGACCGAAGTGATTGTGGACCACGCATAACCCGTGCAGTCCTCATCTAAATTACTGCCATAAATAGACAGCTTACGATCACCCACAAAATAATTAAGCCATATCATCTATCTATTACTATATAATGACCTATAAATGTTTATATTTCTCTTTTATCATTAATATAAAAACCTTTTTACTAAAAAAATATGTCTAAGAAAATTATTTGAGATCTATATAAGCTATAAATTCCGAGATTTGTTCCTCAAAGTCACTTTTAAAGAAATGAATACTGATAAATCAAAATTACTTGGTTTCCTGAGGTCTCGAGCAACCTGGAAAAGCAATACCTCCTGTAACATCACATTTATATAGTTCTTCAATTCGTGGTTGAGAGGTTTGAGTCTGAGCTTGATTTTGCTTTAAAGGTTCGCTATCTACACTACACTTGTACATTTCACTCATATTAGGTTGACCCTGCCTGTTTGCAGGGGTTTGACCATACTTTTCATGTATCCCTCTATGTCTCTTTAAGGCAAATCTATCTGAAAAACCAACATCACAGATGTCACATCGATGGGGTTTCTCTCCTGTATGTACTTTGGCATGATTTTTTAAGTGAGTAGCTTGATTGAAGGCTGATCCACATATATTGCAGCGATAAGGTTTTTCTCCAGTATGAATTCTCCTATGGTTCCATAATGTTGAGTGGCGAGCGAATGTTTTATTACATACTTCACATTCATAAGGACGTTCTCCAGAATGAATTCTCTCATGGTTTTTAAGATGAGGTGCTTGAGAAAATTGCATTCCACAAACCTCACACTTAAACGGTCGTTCACCACTATGCACACGAGTGTGATTTTTTAGATAAGCAGCTCGAGCAAACGTAAGTCCACAAAACTCACACTTAAAAGGCTTGTCTCCAGAATGGAGCCTTTTATGACTCCATAATGATGAATATCGTGAAAATGTACCATCACATATATTACAGTGATAAGGCTTATCAACAGGATTCTGAATACCACCGACAAATATTATGCCAGATCCATTACATTTATGACAAGTTGCCATTTTTGCCATACCTCTCCTTTTGACTGGATGTGCTCCTTTTGGATGTTCATCCGTTTCAGTAGAGGCTTCTTGGGTTCCTTCAAAACCTGAATCCCTTTCTGAATTCTCAGCACAATTTTCACATTTCAAAAATTTAGATTTCTTTTTACCATCGTGACCACAATCAACTTCAACACCACAGCTAGTACAACACTTTGATTTATTATGGTTGTTATTAGAAGTCTGTTTATGTGTTTTTAAATCTGATGGCTGATTGTATGTAGGTTCACAGCTATCACAAGCACGTTCACTAGAATTTGTTTGAACACGTTCAACTGAATTAGTGTGTACGCGTTGTTTATGATGATTAAGCAGTGATAAATGACCAAAAGATAAACCACACACATCACATTTAAAAGTCGCAGTTGAAGCAGCTGCTGCAAGTGACATTTGATTGACTAAAGCATAATTATATGAAAATGGTTGTGTAACATCAAAACGATAACCTTTTTCCTCTCCAGAATTATTTCCAACACTAACACTACCATTATTAGAAGTTTGCTGATGCACTTTCTGCAGCATATTAACGTTGTAACAGAATGGAAACTCGGGGATAGTAGACTGCTTATCATCTTTCTTTTCTAATGAATAAAGCTGAGTAACATGATGCTGTTGCTGTTGAGGTTGTGGTTGTTGCTGAGTAGACTGCATATTAGATTCAAACATAGCATCCTTTTCTTCATCAACACAGTTTGTCCGATAAATGCTTGGTTGATCAGTTTGGGTGAATCTGTAAATTCAAATCAAATTAATCGAATATTAAAATGGTTAAGGCATACATACCACGATTAATACCTGTTAATACTTTCAGAGGATACAATGAACTGTTTCACAGGGATTTTAAGGACACCTCTTCCTTGTTGATGATTTTCAGTTGTAAATAATTGCTTTGAATCACTTGTTACCTTGAGTGGTTCTCTGTTAATCCAAGCACTGGCATCTAATGACATATTCTTTAAGTGACAGAATTTAGTCAACCTGCACAATAGGAATTTCTAATTCTATATCTATTCAATTTTCAGATATTCATAAATAAAAACTTCAATTATGTAATGGATGGTGAACTAAAAATATATAAAATGACTCCATTTTATCTAATAATTCTTTTAAAACTACCTTTAGAATGGTTAGAACAACCATCGGAATGAGCTTTTAATTATTCTTCCTACGTTATTAGAAAATAAATCAAGGGCCCACAAAAACTGAAATGGACGCTTTCCTTCTCTCTCTTTCCACTCTCCCTTTTTGTCTTTTTTGACAGAAATCTACGAAATATAAACAAAAGTTAGAATCTATCAACTTAGGTTTCTAGAAGACAGTACTAACTGTTCTGATAAACAAAACTGACTTAAATCCTATTATAATTATGTTTTTGCACTTTCTGATAACTGCAACAGAAACTTAGGTACAGTTGGCTGTGGCGATGCGGATAAATTTGTTTTAACTGAAGTTGATTGATTAACTTTAATTTATTCTTTGTTTTAAAACAAAAAGTTACGCTCGTTAAGTCAAATATGAAAGCTATATTATATAAATTAAGTTGAGAAAAAAACTTTTAACAAAACTAAGTTGTGTACGCTTTGGACAATAGGTAACCTACTCATTATTTTCGAAGTATGTTTTTCTCAACTTTATCTTGACAGTGATTTGAGTTTGTTATTTTACTTAAAGTTATCAGTGTTTGATTACAGTGATGTAATTTCCCCATATAAATGTAAAAATTGATAGATGATTGAAATATATTAGTAAAATGATTTTCCTTAAATCAGCTACTATTCCTGTTTATTCACTTATTGTTTAAATAATGTTTTTGAACAAAGTATTATTCTTTTTTTAATTTTTGAAATATAATTTGTGCAACTTTTAATTGGTGAGTGAATGTGGGGCTATTTATATTTCAATACCTGGCATCAATGATTTGTATGTAACCAAGGAAGCCAGTACAGCTCAAGAAGCTTCTACATTATACAGTAAGTTGTAGGTTTGAATAGTTTTGTTGTTATTAAAAACATTAAATGATAAAGCAATTATACATAATTAACGTTACTATCGTTATGTTTGGATTTCTAATATTTGTTACATTATTTTATAGCGAGTTAATAGTCATGTAATATTTTTATAACTTTTGAAATAGAAAGTCTGTAAGTTAAAATTAATAATAATATCTTTTGTTTTTTAAGTCTTTAGAATATTTGAAAGTTCGTGATGTATACACAACTCCTGTATTAGTGAATAACAAAATAGCATTTACATTATAACAGTTATTGTTGCTTCAGTTTTTTTTTTTAATACCATCAATACCATTGAAGAATTGAGGTAATTATTTTTAAAATTGATTCAATAAATTTTCAAGAATTTTATGTGGAACACATTAAATAAATGATAGCACCGCAGTTGATGTAGGTAACACTGTCTGTTTAATCTCATTTTTATACTGTATTGAGATGCTTATGGTCATTACAGCTTTGTTAGGTAATGCGATTCATTGCACTCTTCTGAAAAACAAATTAAAATAGTTTTGTGATAAAGTGGATTGAGATGGTTTTGAAACGAACCATGGCTGAACTAATAATCTTTAAATTTTAAGAAATTATTTAAACTTAAATGACTTCTAGTTATTCTTAGTGGCATTTAGTTTTAACTTGACTAATGAAAGGGCTTATTTAATCCTAATGGGAAATGGAGTGGTTCAGTGGTACGACGCTATGCTTCCAACTCAAGATCCCAAGTTCGATTCCCGGCTTATGGCAGATAAATTATTTATTCTGTTTCTTGGAGTCCCCCCTCTGGGATCAGGAGGCCCTCCTGGAGCATACCCGGCCTCGATAAATGGTTTGCCCTTAATTAAATAATTAATAAGCAGTACTTTCCCTTTATACTTCTGAATCAACGGCCCTTCATGTGTTGTAGTGGTACAGCTTTTTTTTTTTCTTTTTTATATTTACCACTGTGATAGGTGGGCCAAGATCTCATGATCACACTTTAAATGGAGTTGTGTGGACCACCAAGTATTCTATAATCTCCCCTTATTTAGACTATGATATGACTTATGCAAATAAATTACTGGCAATGATGGAGAATCTGCAAAGGCCTATAAAGCAAATAAATATCTGATGCCTCAATTAGAACGTCAATAGTGGCAATTTCTTATGAAAGTTTTGATTATTTATTAATTCACAATTCATTACAAAATAATAGTAGTAAAGTTTATGTTGTGATTACAGAATGTACTTTTCATAAATAAGGACTTTGAACTTTAGTTATATGAATTGTAGTCGAGAAAGACATCGGTGGATAAGATGAGGGGCAAGTTTTCAAACTCAGTTCTGAGTTCATTGATGGCACCAGAAATCTATCATACTATTCCTACCTCAATGGCAACCATTGCTGGAATTAAGCGAGTTTTTTTATTTATTGATTAAATCACCAATTATTCTGCAGTTCCACTTGCTATTGGGGTAGATGGATTTCTTGGATTTGCCCTCATTATAATCTTAATGTTTTTATATCTCAATTAACTTTATTTATTTATATTGTATTACTTTCTACTTATATTTAGTTATATTTTGAAATTCATCAATTTCGTCGGTAGGTATTTCCTACCCTTTTTTTTTTCTTTTTTTTTGTGTGTGTTTGACATCCTAGGAGTGTCAAACATAATCACTGCCAATAGATTCTGGTTTCAATCAATCAATTGATTGATTCTATTGATAAAATTAGAGTCATGTTTAGAAAAGCCAGAGCTGAGACTGTTACTCCAAGGTAATGGTACTAAGGAGAAAGTAATAGCTGTTCGCTACTTTTTTTTTTTTTTGCCTTAATTTCAATATAATTTAAAAAATCTTCTTTTCTAAACTGCTTAATTTAGGGTAACAAAATGATATTTCAATTTCTCAGTTGAAGGAAAGGAATAAGTTAATAAAACTGTCATGTTGTTATTCTTTTCTATTTTGTAAGACCTCCGAATTATCACAAAATGTTGAATTATTTTTAAGTAAAACATAAGTCTACTTAGACTCAAAAGCAGAGTTCTCCAAACTACCACCCTCAAGCACCTTCAATCCGGCTCATGAAAGTTTCTTTGAATACATGGTAATATTTTAAAATGTATTTAAAAATCTGGTGCGCACTTCACATGACTTTCATTTACTACCCTCTTCTTAGCAGAAATGAGTATTGTCAGACAAAGGGGAAGTGAATGTAAAAATTATAGACGCTATTTATTTACATTTCATTGTGAATATATACAAATTTGATTTTTATATCACTGTATTCTATACAATTAAATATTAAATAATACCAACGATAGCATTTATGAAAACCGCATGAGTATATGTACATAGCATTGTCGGAGTCCGCATTATATTAAGCTAATTTTACGTATGGAAGCATGTTGTAATTTTTTGGGCGCGCTTGTATTCCTTTGGTTCCTCTATTACAACTATTATCCGTTACGATCTCTTATTTCTTCTTTAGTTAATTATTAAATTCTTTCATATTCTTTATATTGTAACTATTTTTTATATCAAAGATTAATGTGAAGTGGTTTATTATTTCAAATAAAAAAATTAAAGGTACTTTATATAGAAAGCTAATATTAAAAATTAGCCATTGAAGCCCTGTTAGTCAACATCAATGAGGATAAAACCTACATTATATTAAAAACTGCTTAATAATACACTAATGTACACATAGGCACCCACACAAGCGCATGAAAATTTTCAATAATCGCAATGCTTATCCTTACTATATATTATATATATATATATATATATATATATATATATATATATATATATATATATATATAAATAAAACTAAATAAAAAAAACTAAATAAATGTTGTAGTAATCCCGAGTGTGAATAATTTGCTGAATTTCATATTTTTACATTCACATACATATATATATATATATATATATATACATATATGTATGTGAATGTAAAAATATGAAATTCAGCAAATTATTCACACTCGGGATTACTACAACATTTATTTAGTTGTTTTTTTTCTCTTAAAAAGCTTATTTCAAAGCTGAAGTATCAACTTAATAAAATTTATAGGAAAAGTTTTATTTTTTCATCTCATGTATGGCCGCAGAACTTGGGTGGAGGTTTCAATGTGGCCTGCAGGCCAAAAGTTTGGAGACCTGCTCTAGCGTAAGTTAAACTTAGTCTCTTAGAAGTAAGGTAGGAAAAACAACTCTGAAAAAAAAAATTTACTGTAGTGTTGCTGACATAAATTATCATAATTAGGATTAAAGCAGTGTAGGGAAAAGGATGTTTATTATTTATACATGTGCATTTGAGGACGGGATGACTGAGCATGATGGGCATGGGTCCCAGAATGCCCAGTTCCGGACATTGTGGGTTTCGATTTCCACTTTGGTTGGTTAATTTTCATTTCTTGGCGGACCTGAGAAATGATAATCCCACTCTGTTAAGTGCTTAGCGGCAACCTCAAGATAGTCATCAGGGATTGACCAAAAGGATCACAATAGGGCCCACTTGCTGGACTAGTTCTCCCCACGAAATACAAGTATCAGTACATGTGTATTTGTTTATAAATATATGGGCATACTTTGATAAAATAGCTGTTGGTTATTTATTCTCCTGATACTTTTTTTTTTCTCTTCATTATTACGACTTTTGATTTGTTATGTAGATGAGTGAACGATTTGTTGTATAAATCAAAGGTATTTATTTTTGTTTTGTTTTTTACTATATAATATCGCTTATGGATTTACAGATTATTTGAACATGTCTGCTCATAAAGTCCGAGAAAAAAAAAGGAGTCTTCCAATGTATTCTGTCCAGTTATACTTCTTGCTTATTGGTGATCACCGCCAGTGAAGTCTATGATTGTGAGTAATTATTAATATCAATATTATTATAAATTGAATTAGCTAAAAAAAATGTTGTATAAATATTGTTAATTGTTATTATTTTATAAAATCAAGATCGGGATCTATGTAGAAAAGTAATCTTAACAAGTTAAAAGGTGTTTCATGTAAACATTTTATGGTGGAAGAAGTTAATAAAAAAAAATATATGATATAAGTTATCAAAAAGAAGGAATACTTGCCTCAATAAATGTTGGTAAGTAAAAATTTGAACATATGAAAATAGGACTTCACTATCATGGGGTATTTGATAGAGTTTAAGCTAATCCAAAAATCTTTGAATTAATTATTAGATTGCATTATCTTAAAATGCCTGCCAGTACATATTTTGAAAAACTGTTAATCTATGGAAAACAGCTTATTTTAAAATAATTAAAATAAACATTTATATGTTATATAAATATATTGACGACACCATGTTAAAGTAATGAATGTGAATTTACAGTGGGTAAACTTTGACTAATCTACAAATTTGTAAAAATGACAAATAGTAATTTCAGTTCACCGGTCGCTGTTCAGATTTGACATTTTGTCACATTGTGGGCCTTGGAGTGCTATGGTAAAAGAACAAAATTGAAAAATGTGATTTATCACATTCGTTACTTTAACATGATGCTGACAATATATTCATGCTTATTAACATTAAAAATCCCTACTTGTTGATGTTTAATTTGCTTATGTACTTCAACTAGAGCCCCTCCCCTCAAATATCTGGCACACTTACCTTCTTTTGCTTTTATTTTTCAAAATATCTTAAATTATCTCTAATATAAATATTTTAAATATAAATCAAACTATATAGTTTTGTACTGTGCATATTTTTATTACCTGCAGTAATAACTTTTTTAGAAATAAAACCTTTTTTTAATTTGATTTTTTTTTTTTTTTTTGCCTTGATTGTTTTGTTTTTTACTTATATACTTATAACTAACTACTCTGAAGTTTTCTTATTTTCTTTGAAGACTGATATTATACTGGTACTGATGAAAGTCTGTCTTTGTTATCTTTGACTGATGAAATTGTTTGTTTCAAAAGTTCATTACATTTATTACTCTTAACTCTTGTTATAGCATTTTGTAGAATTGATGTCAGTAACATAAAGTTGTTTGATGGTTTTAATCATTAAGTTGGAAAATAAGAATAATTATTCTGTCCCATACATAATTTTTATTGAAAGATTTTTATTTTTCAATGAGATTTCTGGATTAAATGCTTAATCATATAATCCATAGAGGACAATTGAGTGGATACTAGGACTAGTGAAAAGATTATCAAATTATTTTATGGCCATTTTGCTAAGTTAATGTAATAATCTTTAATAAATAAATTAAAGATTTAATAAATTTTAATATTGTATTGAAAAGGCTTGTCTGGTTGCCAGAGATTCTCTGTTGGAATTTCTTGAGTATGTTTTAAAGTAGTTTCACAGATTCTAACACAAGGTCATTGTAACACTGAACCTTGTTTTGTTTGACTGTCAGAATGAAACTGTATGTTTAGTGTTTCTGAATGGGAACCTACCTGTCATGTGACAGAGTATAAATTAATAATGTAAATTTAAGTTGTTATAACATGTTATTATTAGCTCTTCGGAAAAACAGTAAACAGTCTATTCAAAAATAAATGTTGCTGTAACATGCTATGACACTTTGTTGGCTTGGTGTTTCTTTTTCTTGTTAGTGTTTTTAACACTGCCATTCTAAAAAACAATTTATAAAGGACTCAGTTGTAACAATGTTAACTTCATGTGCAAAATAAGTATTATATGGTTTGAAAATTATTTTTTCAAGTGATGGAATGATTGTTTAAACCTAGTATTAATAACTTTAGAAGTAAAAAGGGATAAGATGGATTCATATTTATATTGTAACTAAAAGTTTTTTTTGTCTTTGTTGAGGGTCATATTTTGAAGCTTCAAAACGGTGAATTAATAGTTATTATTCAAAATGTTTTTTTATATTTTGTTTATTGATATTACAATCTGTCTCAATTAAGAGTATTTATAGTAGAGTTCAGAGACCACATTCACACCATATTGTAAATGTAAATGAAGGATTTATTAAATGTTGGTAATTTTCTGTGTTTATGCATGGAAATGGTCATCTATGACATTTGTTAATTTAATTGAAAACATTCTTATTAATTATTTTTGTTATTATCGAAGTCTATATTTAGCTGTACAGTGTTCATTAAATCAATATGAGGCAGAAATTATGGGCTACAAGGAATTGATTGATCGCCTAATTTATTTAGGAATAGAACGCTATACTAGTTGTTACCTTTTTTTTATTGTTAAATAGTCCTTTGACTATTTAAGCTTCTTTTTATCAAAACTTTTTTACAAATATGTTACATGTTCAAAAATGGAAAGTTAAGTTTTTGGCTATCCCATTTTTTAATGGGATGCAGAATCAGGTTCAGTAATCTTAAAAATATGAAATCCATTTATGTAATTAGTCGATGGATTTGAAATTTCAAATATCCGAAATCTATCTTCCAATCCTTGAAAGGAAATAAAAATGATATGGACTTCCATGAAAATTACAAGTCCCCTCTTCCGTTTATTTATTAGTAAGTAATAATGAATATTGTTCTAAAGAAAATTTATATTTAAAAATGTAAACATTTAACACTATGTGCGGGATCGGGGTAGCTAAGTGGGTGAGCATTGAATTCCAGAGCTTAAGGTGCCAGGTTCGAATCCGGCTAATGACTAGTAATTTTTCATTAGCCGTGGATCGCCCTGGGGTCAGAAGACCCTCCTGGGACACATCCAGTGTGTACTCTTAATAAAGTGGGTAATCTTAATTAAATAATTAATTAAGGGAAAACTGACAGTTGAGCGTGATATCAGCCCAGTCATCTCCCTACACAACTGTTGGCCTTGTAACAGTACTTCCTCACATAGTACTGCACCCAAGATCCTTCAGTGGTACAGGTATTATCACTGTGTGTGATATGATGTTTTAGTGCTGTAAAATTACTTTTGCACGCCTTATTGTCCATTTTGGCTGCTTTTCGATCAATGCATGATTCAGATTGATCATTTGTTGATGGTATTGAATGGTATCAAATGTTTCACTCGGTTACAGAAGCTCATAACTGTGCACACCGTTATTCACTTCTCCATTTGTCTGTTGTTTAACTTGTGTGGTACTCATTTTCCGGCTTTCTGGATATTTCTCATGGCTTACAGATGATTAAAATTCATTCAATGAAGATCATTAAACCTCTCTGCCATTTGTTGTTGACTTTGCATATCGTCTTTGTCCAATAATGCGTGCTATTCAGCATCATGAAATTTTTTTAGTTGACATTTATTTATTTTAAAATTTGTTGACTTGAAAGACAAAAATTGTTCTTTGTCTTTCAAGTCAAAATCATCATTTTTGAATTCAAAGACAAAGGTCTTGAACCTTTGAAGGCCTTAAACCAATGCACACCAGTATCTTGCATTATATGTATATTATGTATAATAATACTGGATGAAATGTGGTTTTTTATTTAAGGATTATTGATAAACATGATCAATATATTTATTTTAATCTTGAATAACATTTTATTAGATTAATTTCATTTTTAACATTAATTTTCCTATTTGCTAAATGGTAATTTAGATTTATTATAAATGGCACTTATCCCTAAACTTGGCGAATGCAATTGATTATCCGCTGGTTTTATAGTGTTCCTTCCTTTGTTGATGTGAAACCAAATCCTCAATGTTAAAAAATATAGTAATTCCACGGCACTCATGAAACTGAACCCCATGAAAAGACCTAAAAGACCTCCAGCATTAGCTAGAATGAAAGAAATTAAAAATATATATATATTTTGTTATTAAAATATATTTTATAAACATTTAATGTATTTTATGATTAATTAACATTTGAAAGTGATATAAAAAATTGTTAAATATAATGAATGAAGAAAATTGATTGATAACTACAGGAGAAAGAAAGAAGGGTTGGAAGCTAAACGGAAATAGCTGTGAGCATCCGACCTTTACTTATGCTCTCCGTTTACAGATAACCAATATCCCTCTGTACAGGCCTTTCAAATTATTAATTTAATTTCTATATATTACTTATCCATAATTTTTTAAAAAGACTTCCACATGCAACGTTGAGGATCTACTGATTTAAACCTAATAATATACAATATTTGCTAACATTAAGTTATTTTTTTATGAATTTCGTGATAAATGTTTCTGAAAAAAAAACACAGATTTTTTCCAAAAGATCTATTTTCCCCCTAATCAAAAGTATTGTTTGACACTATACATAGGGATAAAAAGAAATGGAAATTGATACAAACGTATAAATTTAACTGATTCGATGGGTGGGGAAAACATGGTAATTAATTGTTTTAAATGAAGCTATACCATCATTTTCACTTTGACTCCCATACTTTCAGGTCGGCAAGTGAAGGTTATGTGATGCATGCACTGAAGTAAATTTTAATGTATCAAAAGATATTCTTTCATTAATCTTGTAAAATTGTTTTTGATAATTTATTGTATTTTTTATCTATACTTACATAATAGTTCTGTTATACCAAACAAAACTCCTCTTACAGTACCAGAAAAATGTTTTTCCATAAAGAAAAAATGTATAATAGCCATATTTTCTCTGGAAAAAAAAATTCAGAAAGTATTAATGAATATTTTTTTTATATACACAACTTTATTTGTCTGTTGTCCAAAGAATAAAAATTGATTTTTAGTTTGGTTATCTCTTTAATGCTATGGATTATTGCCTTGTCTATGTATTTGATTTATTCGACCCCTGAGTTATGTAATTTGTTTTACATAGTGTGGTAATAATTTGAAGACAAATCTTTAAAATTACACTTAATTTTAGGATCTGTTGATTTCAATTGCTATCTCATATCATTTTCGATCATCTTGTATTTCCAAACATTTTTATATTTTATATATTACAATAAAATACTTACCTATTTTAGATGAAAATTTAGGAGTATTGGAGTTATTTGAGGGTTATGATTATGGAAAAATATGACAGTAAAATCTTCGAGCAAAAAGATATAGGTATTCAAATTACAACCTCTTGCATAATGATTATTTGAGAAATCAGAAACCTATCTTAAACATTTTTCAGATTTGATAAAAAAAAAAAAAGCAGTAATCGATTAAAAAAGAAAACATTTCAGATAATTAAAAAAATTAAATTAATAATATTACACTTAATAAGAATCAACTTTTTTCTTAATGGGTGAGGTATGGAACAGTTTCCATATTTAAACTAAGTAAAATATAAATCTATTTTAGTTAAAACTAATAAGAAAAACAAAAATTACTTGAAATATTTATAGTCTTTATCACCCTGAAAATTAGGTTTTAATGTTAGGTGATCTGTGATTGGAGCTGAAGAAATTACAAAGCTAAATGACAACTCATGACAGCCTGGGAGACAATTGCACAGATTAAGTTTTTTATTTGTAGTAAAAGTAAAATTCAGAATAGCTTCATTCATACTTAATTCCATCATTCCTGAAAGTAAAACCTAATAAATATTTTTGATATTTGACAAATTCTACTACAATGATTTTTCAAATTAATTTATTAAGCTATAACTCACTTTGAGCATTAAGTGCACATTTTCTGTCAATCCGTCCACATATTCTGGTTTCTTTATTTTCTAAGATTGAGAAGTGAAGTTAGTATAAAAGTATGAAATCAATATTTTTTATTTTTAAAATTGTGTTCATTATGGAAGATATAAATATTTAAAACTTGATTGATTACTTGGCATGTAGTATTGCACACATCCACAAAACGCTAACGTGAAGTTTGCCTCACATTCCAGTGTACAGCCTCTCTGTGTGTAAGTTCGGTAAAACAATAACTGTCTTTCAGTTTCAAAAAAACATTGACGTTTTGAGAGATCTACATTAGCCAGTTGAGGAGTTGCTGTCATAATGTGAGGTATTATAACCATTTTAGTTTCATGTCCTGGCGCTACAGAAATACCAAAAGATGAGACCTTTGGAGTTTCGATTGGATTATTCAAGAGAACCTGGCAAGAAAAAAATTAATGATAATTTTATTTTACTTGATTTTATCTAATACTAATCGAAGTATTATTATACCTTAAATCCTTTTCCATTTTCTGAAGAACAAAAATATTCATCTATTTCTGTATCTACTACAACTGTTAGACCCAAATGCCGCCCAGACCCTCGTGGTCGTCTGGGTAGGTTATCAGCTGGTGTGTTTTCTGGATAACCTCTTTGTGGAGACCAATCCACTGAATCTATTGGGAATGTTACATTTAGATCGGATACATCTCGTCTGTGTAGAAAAGAAAACGTATATATTTTTGGACAAGATATTTATTTTAAGTTTAAAAAAGTAGATTATTTATTTACTGAATTAATAATTTATAATATTATGGTGGCAGAGGTCCAGGTCCTGCTAGGACTGTATCACCCATTGAAGAAGAAGGATTATTCTTAATAGAATCTCTAGTTTTTCTTGACTTTTATATAAAATTTTGTTTTTTAATATTAAGATGAAGAAATTATTTTTGGTTACATGGATCAGATAAGTTTTGTTAATCGCTTCTCAAAAAAAAAAAGTAATCATTCAAACCATGTTTTATAAACTATTTTTAAAACAATTGTTGTTTTGAACAATATAGAAATTTGCAGTTTATTAGAGGGAGTTAGAGCCAACATTATTTTTATTTGGAAGAATACTATTTAGACTGACCCTTATTTACTTTTGTTATTTCCATTTTAATCATGAGTATCTCAAAGGTCAAACTGTGAGAACGTCTTCAAGTTCTACTGTTATCCAGTGGACTAGGCCTAATTAAAAAAAAATAATTACTTTAAATTCTACTGTGTAATTATGTGACTTACGGGTTCTGAAATATTAGGTCTCTGTTCAAGCGGTTAAATACACAACACATGCCCTCATCTGTCAGACTTGGATTAAATAGATCTGTACAACTGAGTGGTTCATCATGCCATTTACATAAAACTAGCATTTCATGACATGGTTGACTCATCTGAAAAATTACATTTAATAAGTATATATTTTTAGAATTTACAATTTAAATTAACAAGATGAGCCATTTCTACAACAACCCATGAAGATATTTCTGTCTACTGGTAGAAATTTATGATTCACGACCTTTAATATCCTTAGGTCAAAATGTGGTCCGTACAACCACCTAATTTATTTCTGGACTGTTAATATAAGGTTGTTTGAAATGATCCACGGAATGTTTGCCAGACCACTATTCCCTACTCTACAAAACAGGAATTTTTTTTGGTAACTAAATTAATATTTCAAGCCAAGATATGATCTAGATTTGTTCATTGTAAGAAACCACTGCTTCACTGATCTGATTAACATTCTACTAATCAAAGACCATCCATGATTTACTAGACCAAGAGAATGCTTTGTAAACTTGTCTTTACAACAATGTTTTATTTTAACAGGTTAGTGTGATATGAGGTTGAAGAAGAAAGTATTGAAATGAAGATAGGAAACATTTCTTAATTTTTCATAAGTAAGGTGGCTTATGGTAGTTTTAATTGAAATGTAAAACACTTTTTTTCTCTTTTTCCTGACCAAGAACTACTAATTTAGTGCTATCTGTCTCTAGTTATTATTAACTAAAAACAGAATTATGCAGAATTTCCTAGACTCCATGATGAACAACATAAAGCTTTTTGGCTTAGGTGTGAAGTAGTGATGGCCAAAACTGTTTATCATGAGTAGCAGTTGCAAGAGTTTCTGCTACTTTCAAATAACAGTTTAAAAAAAAACAGATATAATAACTGAGATCTATTCGATGCCATTGATGAGCTCAGCGCTGATTGTAAGAAGCTGCCCCTTCCTAATGGAAGGTAATCCTTGTATCTGATTAATCTGGGGTCAAATAGTTTGCCACTAAACACCCCACCGCTACTGTGAATTCCATTATGGATCTGATCTGCACTGCTCGCTGTGGATACCATCAGAGCTACATCTTAACTTGCAATAAGTTAAGATAAATATATTTGACAGATAACTTATAACATTGATTCCAGATGATCTAATCTAGCTAAAAATGTTTTATAGATTAAAATTAGTATGTAAGCATTGTTCAGTTTCAAAGTGACCATTAATTATGGGAGTCATAATTTCAAATAATTATAAAAACATATTAAAATATGACCATGTGTATTCTTGAAAGTTGAAAAAAAAAAAAAAAAACTACCAGTATACAGAAGTCCCTCCATGGGTTGTTGTAAGAAAGATTTATCTTGTAAATTCTAAAAATATTTACTTATTATATAGTTAGTTTCTTTATTACATTTTTTTTTTTTTTTTAAATGTTTTACTTACTTTCACCATAAATTTTTTTATGTATTCCCAGTCAGCAGTAATGTTTTGGTCTTCAGGATTTTGTGTTATGTTTGTTGAATCACAAAAATCATGTATTAACTTTTGATCCACATCATTTTCTTCAAAATTACTGTAATGAATTAAATGTAGAATCATTTTATTTTTATATAATGTATAGAAAGTTTGTGGAAGATTTAATTGTACTTAATTATGTATTAAAATTAGCTTCTTTTTTTTTATATTTTCATTTATTTTATTTTTTTTTTTATATATTTCAAATGGAATGGGGTAGCTCAATGGGTATGGCATTGCACTCCTGATTCTCAGACTAGTTTTGAATCCAGCTATGGCAGATAATTAATTGTTCTATTTTAACAGCCTTGGATCAACCATAAGATGAGGAGGACCTCTTAGGGCATTCTCAGCCTTAATAAACTGGGTAGAAGGTTCACCAACGTATGATTAGTAATGACAACTATAAAATTATCTATCACTAAAAGCATAGTCATTTTATATCCACTGTTTTTTAGAAAATACAGTCTTTCTGTGAGGAATAGTGCTTGGGTGTTGATCTATTATTGCACAATACTCATTATTTTATTTCAAAGTGAAATATTTTTTTCGATTATGAAAAATCTGAGAACGAGGGCAAAATACATAAAAACTAGAAGTAATCTTAGAATAACTACAATTTTAGATATTTAAAAAAAACTAGAAACATATTCTAAACAGTAATAATCAACTTGATTATTGAAATAACTAGATTTATTATACTACATAATAATTAAACACTAAAAATTGATGTATAACTTTGTTTGGTCTACACCACAACCTTGGTCACAAAATGTTTTTGAATAAAAAAGAAAAATTCTTACTCAGTGCTACTGCTTTTAGGATCTCTTGGATTCAAAGAAGTGATTTCATAATAGATTCCTAAACTATTAAATAAAAATTCAGTAATAATTTATGGAATCTGTTATTAAGTTACAGACTTGTACATATATGTTTTGACTGAATGGAAAGTGGTATGTTGGGGATGAAGATATAATTTTGTAAGAAAAGATTACATTAAATTTATACTTATGCCCTTTGAGACAGATTGTAATATTTTTCAATAAACAAGTTTAAAAAAAAATAAAAATATTATACTTACGAATTCAGAATTCTTTCTGCCTCAGTTTTTCTCATGCTGTTCATGTTGCAAATAGTTATGGATGGAAATGGAATATCTTTTATCGTAGATGACTGTGGTGTTAAGGACATGATGACAGGCATTACATCAAATTTGATGAAGAGATTAGAAATAAAAAAGAAGGAAGCTCCTCCAGCCAACACAAAAGCCATGAACCAAAACATCCTTAAAATATTTTATTAATTTTAAAATATAGCTTGATTATTGTTTATACTTCTTAATTAATAATAACTTCATGAAAAATAATCAAAACCTGCAGATGTTATATATATAGTAACTAAATTAATTTAAGATTTAAATAAGAAGTGTGGTTTCTGGAAATAAATGCACAACAGCACAATTATTGTATTTTATATTTATATGTCATGATATATTGGTATGGATATGGTTGACCGTGGTATGGATATGGTTGACCGTGGTATGGATATGGTTGACCGTGGTATGGATATGGACTGATTCAATTTCAGAAGAAGTACAATGTAATAAAACATACTATTATATTATATAGTATTTTTTTACCGCACTCCCAACTAACTTCTTCTGAAAGTCATGATATATTGTTATAGAAATCCATATTCTGCAAAAGATTTATCAAAATAATAGTTTGAAAGCTTTCAAATAAGTTTTTTTATTTTTTCACTATCCTAATTTTATTCTATGATTTATACAATACAATAAATTACTATTACATCAATAGATTAATAAAAAATTACCATTATTTTTATTTATTCTATTTTTTTATATGAAAGATAATATACTTGAACCAAGAGATTGTTTTCTTTTCTGTTGAGAATAGTTAAAACCAGTAGTAGGTCTAGGATTTAATTTTTGTGGGGAGAGGAACTTTTTTTTTTCTTTAACTACAAGAATATTAATGTTTTTTGAGATAAATTTCAACATTCTTTTTCTTTGCTGAATGCTCTTCAGTAATATGGTGTTGGACAAAGAAAGCAACCCTCTTCTCTGAAAAATAAAGTATGTGGCGAAGAACAAACACTGTTCCAATCTTTTATGCTTTTAAATAGAAAAATGAGGGATAAAGAGATGAATATAGAAAAATGAGGGATAAAGAGATGAATATGGTGCAGGTCACCGAAAGTTTCACTGAGAATAAAGTAGTTTAAATAAATTATAGAAACTGTCATTGGTAAACATAAATCCTGATCTACTATGAAAACACATAAATTATTTGCACGGTTTTTAAATATAAGAAAGTATATTAATTTATTGTTCTTATCTCATTTATCCATCCATCTATATTTAAATTAATGAAATAGGCGGTTCAAGCCAGGGAAATAGTATTTTTTTAAAGAGCTACACGAAAATCATCCCTAATACCAATAATAATATGGATTCTTAGGAGTATTGTTATTTTTAACAATTCAAATAAACTGTCTAACCACTTAAATCTGATAACAACAATTAAAAGATAATGAATATAAGGGAGCAAAGTGGTTGGAAAAGGCATAAAAACCCTGGGAAACTTTCAATTTAGACAAGAAATTTGAAAACGGAATTTATTATAGTATGTCACGACATTCTGAATTAATTTAGACTAAAACTATTTTGGTAAGATCAACTGTTATTATTATTGTTAATATTTTTCACTAATAAATAAAATATATTTTGCATATGTAATATATAAAAATTAACATTTATTGTATAAGGTTATTGACTGAATAAATTATAAATATCTATTACCTATATTACTATCAATAATACATAGTGATAAGAGAAGTAGAGCAAATCAACCTCGAAAATAAAATAAAATACATGGTGCTGAGCTGCAAACTATGTCCCAGTATCAATTATGACTCACAAAATTGTTTGAATTTCTCTTCATTCTTTTCCTTTGCCTTTTCTTTCAGTTTTTTTTTTTTTTTTTGTATTGATAGTATTCCTTCAATTTTCTATGATGGAAATAAATAAATCATATTTGGTATATGTTTATTTAGATAAAGGTAGGAGATTTTCTTACCAGTTATTGCTATAGCTTTCTTGACTGAATTTGCCAGATAATTATCGAAACCACTTGATACCACAGCTGATTTTTGTATTCATCATTAAGTTAATAGATCAAGGATTTAATTTTGGGGGGACTTCAGCCCGAAAGCTTTATATGTATATTATGATAATTGCTTTGGAAGAAAAAACATAGAAGCTATATGAAATGGTGTATAAATGATTCTTGAAGTCCTATTAAATCTAATTACACAAATAATAATACTTTTAGAGATAATTTTTTTATATTTTTCATTAGATGGTTAGTAAATCCGCCTGTTATTTCTACTGATCATTAGCGCAGTGTTTAAAGAAAATTTTTATTACAGTGAGACCTTGGCAGTCGCTGGTGCAATGTATTTTCCTTTGGTAATACGAAATTCCTGGGTCCGTTGAGTGGCAACTTATCCTATGACAATACGAGATAATTGAATTTATTAAAAAATAAATTATTTAAGAACTTATTTGACTCATTTCAACTAATTATACAACAAAAAATTATTTTGAGAATCCAGTAAAAACGCTTAAAATATATTTAATGACTTATAACAAATTATTAATATGGTAGAAACTTGTTTTTTATTTATATTTCATTGAAAATCTTGGAAACTAGTATTTTTATTCATTCCTAAATTGTAGGAATATATGATTTGATAACTATGTCACACATTACAAACCTAGAATTTTGAATTATCATAGCTCCTTAAAAATAGGTTTTTGCCGCTCTCAGATTACTGTGAATGTCACTAAGGTCATATTTTCCCTCATTTTTGTTTAAAAAAAAAACAGATGGAAGTTTTTTGCATTAATACTTATTTGAGATGTAATTAAATTAAATAAAATTGTCAAATCAATAGAATTAAATTACATTCTCTTGTTTCGTTTTAACATTTTTATAATTTGTTCCTGAATTTAATTTATCAAATGGCGGGAGTGGTGATAATGTGCAGAAGTATAGGATTTAAAACAAATAAATATACATTCTATTCTATCCTTATTGAAAAGCGAATATTTTGAGTACATGATGGTTATCAAACTTATTGGATAGTGGAGTGGTACATTGAAATCATTAATAAAAGTTATGCCATCACAATAATTATTTATATTTAGTTTTTAAAATTTTAAATAATTTTTTTTTATTAATAAAATAATAATCCATACTAGTAAATAACAGATTAAAATAAATTAAAAAACTACATTGTATTGTAATAACAAAATTGTTTTAATTGTTTATTTTATTGTGATTCAACAACTATTTATTTCAATTATATGAAAAATAGTAGTAATTTGGCCGAAATTAAGTTTTAAAAAACGTAGTGTAATTATGACTCTATTCCTGATTGAATTCCATTTGATGTAATATGTGATGGTATTTCGTTTGGGAACGTTCTCCCATGGTGTACAGGCCTTTAGAGAATACTGAAAATTTAAATTATTTTTTCTTGTTCTTCATTGAGGAATCAATGGTATTGTCAAAAACAAATTACACATTATAAGTTCAACAGTAAATGAGTGAGCACTAGTTACTTAAGAGGTTTTAGAATTTAATGAATTGGACTAGCAAGATTTAGAAGTAAGGAACCGATATGCAATCATAAAGATTGACCGCTATCCACAAAAAACTTAAGATTTGATGACAATTTACAATGTCACAACAATTAGCTAATAGTAAGAATAGGAACTACTACCAGTATGCCTGAAAACACCAAGAGAAGTCTGAAAAGGTCAAGGATAACAGGCCTTCTATACATTTAATATTGCCATAGAAGATGTACTCATACTAGCTATTTTTCTTCTTAATGGCTGACATGGTATTAACTATATAAATTGTAAAACATCAAAATGCCCGACAGCCAACCAGAACCACTTTTCTGGGGTTATCTATAATTAACTGATAAAAGTTCGAAAATTTTGTATTATTTCTATGCTGTAATGTACGCTCTACGTCGTCGATGTTTACCCTTATGAACTGGCGCACAGTGAGACGAAAGACGGGTTTTGTGGACATGGACGTAGAACTCGTAAATTATGTCTGATTAACTTGATATTTAGTACACTTATGTTTTTAAGGCCAACAAACATGAATATGACGTCAAAATTTAAAAAATGTCCACGAAAAAAAAATTCCGGTTTCTTTGTTTAAACCCTGGGAATTTTTATAATTGACAATAAATTAACTTTGAAAATGATGAGACTTCATAAAACGCATAATTTTAGATACCTATTTATAATTACGAATCCTGAGTCGCCAGGTCTTGACGAGATGACTCCAGAGATGTTAAAACATGGTGGCAGTGATCTGTGGGAGGAAATTTATGACTTAATTTGGAAGATATGAATGAAAGAAAAAATGCCTGAAGATTGGACAAGAGCAGCAATACACAAGCTAGTATGTGAAAATGATAGAGGCATTTCTCTATTAAGTACAACCTATAAAATATTGACAGTACTCCTACTTAGAAGATGGACGGATTTTAATGAAAAAATCATTGGAGAATATCAGGGGGAGGCTTTAGGCCTGGAAGATCAACAGTTGACCAAATATTCTCTCTGAGGCAGATAATAGAAAAATGTTATAAATTTAACATATACCTGCACATCATCTTTGTGGACTTCAAACAGGCATACGGCAATGTTGACAGAAAGGGACTTTTGAAATCTATGACAGATGTAGGCATACCCAAGAAACTGGTCAGACTTACAAAAATGACACTAATGAAGACTACATGTCGAGTGAAACTTACAAATTCGTTGTCCGAAGAATTTGGGATGGTTAATGGATTGAGACAAGGTAATCCTCCATCTTCCCTTCTTTTTAATCTTGCCGTGGAAGTGGCTATTCGTTCTATTCAAACAAATCCAGGAGGAACAATATACAATCGTATGTCTCGACATCTGGCATATGCCGATGATGTTGTCATTATCTCTAAAACCCAAGCAGCATTGTCAGGAACTTTCCAGGAATTCGAAGAAGCAGTAGCTAAACTGGGCCTTGGAGTTAACGAAAATAAGACGGTGTATATGAAAATTCAAAAACGGAAAAGGAAATGAGTACAGAAATAGCATTAAGGTATCACAATTTTAGGTTGACCAGTTCAAGTACCTTTGAAGCCTTGTAACATGCAATAATAAAGTAGAGGGTGAAATAAACGCCAGGATTACAGCAGGATATAGATGCTATTTCTCACTGCAAAGAGACTTGAAGTTCAGATCACTCTCTAAAAGAATCTAAGTTCTCATATACAAAGCCATAGTAAGACCAGTGTAGTGTTGCCCAAATGCGAGACCCAGACGAGTATTGGTCTTGCAAACTCAGTTTGGTCATGGTCTTGGTCTTGCACAGGAGCCTCGCAACAGTCTTACAGTACTGAATTTTGGAGATAGGAGAAACCTAACTAAGCCTGAATGAAAAATTAGAGGCATTAAATGCATAACTATATTGGTTTTACCAATTATTTACATATAGTAACTAAGATTTTCGAGTATTAGTAACTATTTTGCCTTAATTTTTTATTAAAAACATCGATTTTTTTTACCAGTCCTGGTCTTGGTCTTGCAAAGTGCAAGACCAAGACTGATTTTGGGCAACACTAGACCAGTGGTTATGTA